CAACGCCTTATAAAGAAAAAGAGCGTGCGCGCATGTTTGTCGGTCGCACCCTTTTATCTTGGACTGCATGTTCCCTTTCGGATTGAAGCAGTGATCAAGATTCTAACGCCTTTGACCCGCCCCACGCGAATATGCGCCAGTTTATCATGATGGTTGGGAAGGGCAGCCAGGCTTCAGGCTAGTAACATTCCACGTACAAACGTGGAGATTGGAGGGACATGCTTGCGTGTAAACGGCAAGCCGCCGTTGGATGGCAAGAGCCCCGAGCCTGGCCCATGAGTTGGAGTCATATTGAAAGAGGTCGAGACCATGGTACGCAGTCCTAAATTCATCCGCAGTGAAGTCAACTGAAAGATCACAGAGATAGGAGAAACAGTTGAGGCTGCGCACTCACAGAAGGGCGAGCTTGGGTTTGCGCAATGGGATGGCTTTGGTGTGTCGAGGCAACCGCCGGACCTCCATGAGGTCATCAGCCCCAATCATGGTCCCGCGCTGAAGAAAACGACAGGGGCATCCTGCACCGTAACAGCATGATATCGGCGGCCCCCTGCGTCAGTACATAACCATTCCAAGGTTGTGAAACTGGTGTAAAGGTAGGACGGAGTGGGCGCATGGTAAGAGAATTGCAGCGTAGCGTCAATCGTGATGCCAGGGTGAGTGAGCTGTGCAAAGTGTTCAGTAAATACCAGGCGGTATACCCCGTCTTGGCAACTGCTGGGAAAGGGAACTCCTTGTTCGTTGGCAAGCGAACTCAGAGACTCAAAGGACTCAGGTAAAATTTGCGCAATAGCCAAAGAAAGGCACCCGGGAGTTGATTGTCATGTCTTTGAGCGACAAAGACAACAAGGTCCTGCATGAACTCGTTGTGATCGCTGCCAAGGTAGGCTTGATGAAGACTAACCGCACAGGCCCCATTAGTCTCGGAAAGAGCAGTGACAAGTTGATCAATTCACACGCTGGTATCAAGATGGCAGGCGAAACTATCATGGTTCAGGTCTCTAACCACGTTAGTGTTACGCCTATCTCCAAAGGTTCGTAGGCCAAAGGGGTTGCTAGTATCAGCTTGGAAGCCGTTGCGAATAGGCAAACAGAGATCAAGCGATGAAGTATCGAAGGTACTGGGTATCGAAGTGACAAGGTTCCAATCACGGGCGAGATTTCCAATGCGGATACGGTCACTCGATGTCTGCTGAAAACGGAAAGCAATGATGTGATGCGTTCGCTTGCCTACATTAACCAAGCCAACATGGCAGGCATGTCTGATGTGCTTAGTGAGATGAGGGTAGTACTCGAAAATGCCTCTTGCCAAGACTGGCACAGCCGAGTGGTTGCTGTAGTGCTGTAGGCAGAATGTGGGGATGCGCGCATTGACAAGTTTAATGAGGGGCCCAAAGTGCTTTCCAAGAACTATAGCCAGGCAGCAGGGATGCTGCTGGCGGTGCCTGATGGCGAAGTTCACGTCTTGGGCATGTGTGGTGAGAACCCAAAAATTGTTGGGAAGTGAACCTCTGATGGAGCTGGGTGTGGCTGCAAACACGAAAACATGAGCAGTCTGAAGTACCTTTGGATGGCCCGAGATGCGTGCCAGCGCTTCTCGGAAAGAAGGCGGTTTGCTTGGAACCCTGAAGTGGGGGCAGTTGAGCAGGCGTGTCCAATCAGGAGAACAGCTCGCCTGGCCTCTAATTGTCCGGTGATTGGGAAGGCCTCATCATTACCTGCAAGTTGCAAGTGTTGCATCTTGTTGCATTTCAATGCCACCCTTTGCATTTCACACCCCAAGGGTAACAGACCCTGTGAAATCTTCTGCAACCCCGAGCCTGAACTTCAAGCAACTCACGTTTTGTCGGTCGTTCTCTTTTGTGTTTTGATTGCATGTTCCCTTAGTGATCAAGATTTTAACTTTGTAGACAAGTCTAGTGCGCGAAGTACAGGCTTCCAGCTCCAGCTGGTTTATTGCGACTCTGTAGTACACGCAAAGTATAGGTTTCCCAGCTCTAGCTGGAAAATCGCAACTTTGTAGTACAAGTCTAGTACGCAAAGTACAGGTTTTCAGCTCTAGTAAACAATCGCAGCTGTGTGGCGCAAGCCTAGTGCGCGAAGTACAGTTTTCCAGCTCCGGCTGGAAAATCGCAACTTTGTAGTACAAGTCTAGCGCGCGAAGCCAGGTGTCCAGCCAGATTGAAAATTGTAGCTTTGCACCAACAGGTGGAGCGCGCAAAGTACAGTTTTACAAGCCTGAAAAACATAGTTCGCGCAGTAGGCTTGATTGCAAGCCCCGTTGGCTTATACCGAAAAATGTTCTCTTTAATTTTATACTTGGGCTTGCGCAAAGTGATGTGCATTCGGGTTCGTGGGCTCTGTCTTGTTTAATTTTGTCAGATTCTGTCGGTTTTTGTCGGATTGTGTCGGTTTTTTGTCGCTTTCTGTCGGTGTGTGTCGTTTTTGTTTTTTTTCTCTCTGGGGGGGGGCTTTACCATCCTTGACTTAATGATTGGTAGCCTCGCTTACGCAGCCCAGCCCACGCAACCTGACTTACGCAGCAGGTAGCTTATGCGGCCTGAATTGCGCTGTCTAGCTTCCGCAGTCTGACTTACGCACCACTGGCGCTGGCTCTGTGTTAATCTTTAAATACAAAACGACGTAGAGCTTGGCGTTGGGCTCCTTCGCGCAGTTTCACATTCACGGCTTGGCATTGCGCATGGATCATGAGCTAATGCTGCAACGCGATTGCTGCGTGCCAAAAAAGGTTTCGTCTTGGAAGCAGGGTGCTGTTGCTTGGGTATGTGTCGGGTATGTGCATGTGTAGGTTCAAAAAGTTCATTTGTCGAGCAGGGTAGTACTGGACACGTGGCATGACACAGTGTACATCAACAACATCACACATGTTTCATCGCAGCATTCTTGCATCATCTTTGTCATATACAGTTTCGGGATGATCGGGGTACAGTTTTTTCTGCAAGGACTTCATCGGCCCTTTGGGTGTAGTGCCGGAGTCAAGTTGATCAAGCGTGTAGACTACGCCTTGCAGAAGTCGGTGCAGGTTCAATCCCGAATGCAGCGAGTTCTGCCCAAAGGCACAAGATGCAGATGATCCTCATGAGCGAGTGGCGTTCGCTTGAAGAAACACAATCCTGAGGGAGATGACTTGCCTGAGCTTGCGTTTGCCAGACTGTTGCAAACAAACAAAGAAGCAAACAAACACAAGCAAACAAACAAGCAAACAAACAAACAAGCAGACAAATAAACACACAACAACAAACACAACAACAAGAGAACGGGCGCCCAGCGGGCTGCAAGAACTCAGAAGCTGAGCAGCAGTGTCAGAAACGGACATATCATTATTACAAATACACACGTCTACATCGTCTACCAGGACTTTTCCGCCTACACTTTATTATCGTCTATGTGGAGCAAGCACTCAGAAGCGGGGAGTCGGAGTGAGAAGCGCCTGTTACGCGCCCGTTTCAGCTCCTTGCTGGACGGGTCCCAGCTTCTGGCTGTCAAGGTTGAGAGGGGCCCGTTGTCGAGGTTGTTGTGTTTGTCGTGGTTCTTGTGCACGCTCGTTGTCGCCCCAGAGTCTTGAAAAAGGAAGCTGTGTGTGGGTCGGTCACGGTCTTCTTTGTACATGTCCTTGTCAGGCTTGAAGCAGTGAACAGGTTTCTGACATGACAGTTTATCAGGCTTAAAACCACATTGTTTTTTCTCGGAACATATCATTTTCTCGACTCTGTGAAAAGCAAACGACTGCACCGTGGTGCTTAGAAAGCAGGAGGTGCCTGGTTGTTGTAAAACCATGCTGATTTAAACCCCGCTGATTGAATACCTGACTTTGTTTTAGCGATTTGTAGCTCATCAGGATGTGCGTAGACATTCACGAACAAGGCCGAGGATGAGCAAGCGAGCTTTGGCTGCAACAACGCTGGTCATGGAAAAAATGGCGACCCCCCAGAGGGATCGCAGGAGCGTGCCCTCCTGTCAGTCCTGGCAAGACTTGCCACAAAGTGCGGAAATGCTCATGACTCTCCTGCACCAACGTGGCGTGTATTGAGCCATTGCTGCGCAAAAACGTGAAAAGTGTCGACGTATTGCCGGGAGACTTGCAGCAGCCGCAACATGAAAAGGGCACTGGTCATGCAGAAAAAAATGGGGGGAAAAATGGGCGACAGAAACTCCTATAAACTTCTGACCTTGGAAGGCTTCAAAATCTGACAATCTGTGCAAGGACTTGAGGGTCGCATCCAAGCCATCCGATGCACCGGATGTTTACCCGACTGCACCGCGTTGAAGAATCGGCTCCATTTTGCTCATAGGCGCAAACAGCGTGTGTGCTGGCGGACATTTTGATTTGTTGGCAGCATTTTGCGGTGAGGGTTTTAAGAACAACATTCACGAGACCAAAAGGCAAAATGTAATGCTCACCCATTACCAGGAATGAAAGCACGACCACACATTTAAACATAGTGTTTAGTGAGACGCAGCTTGTGTTAGATTTACATCATGTGGTACACCAGTAGAAGCTTTAATTTTGATGAGGAGACTTGCAAGCCAGGCTTTTTTTTCCAGTTGAATTCTTGAGTCAAAATGAAGTAATTTCTTGTCGCACTTTCGCGAACTGTCAGCCACGTGTGCCTGTGCTTTGTATTCGTGCAATGACATATTGCGATTTGAGAAAAGGCTTTGACATATTTCCACACGTTAAGCATTAGCTTGAATGGAAATCATAATTCTGTTATTAATTGTCCATGTAGACTTGGCCAGTGACACAGGCGCTTTATGTTGATTCATGGGAAACTGTATCTTGATGGAAGAAACAACCATGCGCTACATTTTTTTCACTTGAGCACACAAGGCAATTTCAAGTTTGCTATGGCCTATTTCAATCGTGGTATGGAGTGCCAGGGCTCGCAGAATCGAACATTGTCTATACGCCAACTAGTGCATTCAGTGATTCCAGAAATCGCAACACGCCATGTGTCGAATGCGGACATTTGCAATTTGCAGTCTACACGTTTCGCTAGAGAAGGCCATCGGGCCTTCGCCCCCAACATGTTTGCATGGATGACGCCTTGTTGAAGCCGTGCAAGGCCTGGAATACTTGATGGTGATGAGGTTCTTGAGTGATTTGGCATTTTTGGTCTTGAGCCTTGACCAGGTCAAGTGCTCCGTCAAAGTTGGCTCGCCTTGGGTATGGGACGAGGAATGGCAGGACTGCACTTCACCTCGTATTCGTGTTAAACATACTCGAGAAAGCACATCAATCGTTGGCGCGCACATACTTACGAATACACATGATACCTGCAAACACACACACACACAACACACACACAAGCGCACACACACACACATGTCGCAGACATACAGGCAAAGACATCAGACCTGAACTAATACAACATTTGCAGTGCTATTAGGAAAGCCATACGTGTTCGCATTCGCACACACACACACAGCATCCGAAAACTGCACGTCTGTGCATGCGGAAACGTAGTCATACATATAACATTCGAATTCGCATTTGCCCCTTCATATATGCACGTTCACACACACACACACACGCATACACACGCATACACATACCCCCCCTGTGCACGCAAGAACGCGCTTGTGCCCGCCCGCCCGGACGCATACGCAACCTTCACGCATGCACGCAGACATGCACCGGCACGAACGTGGCACGAGGGGACAGATGTTGCCATGGTGTCCCGCTTTAATGCGTTCTTTCACATTGCCTGTTCGATTTCAATCACAGTTGAGGCGGCATTTTTTAAATTCTGTGCGTATGAGTGATTCACCCATGATTGTGTGTGTGTGAGAGCCCCAATTTGGGCAGGTCGGCATGGCTCATTTCAGCTTTCAGGTCAGCTGTTGCCAGGACTATGTGGAGAAACCAGGAGATGTCTCAGCAGTTGGCACTCTCGTGGAGGTGAAGGATCCGAAGGCGTTGCGTGCCAGGCAAGCGTCAGCCTCGTGGTTTCCGTTGGGAACTGATTAATTGCCCTTCAGCCCACAAACATGGAACCTGACTGGTGCAAGACAAGTTTCCTTCACAATCCGGGTTGCAATTAGTCCCCTACAGTTTAACACAGAACCCCAGAACCCCTTTGGATTTGTCGAGGAAACTTGTTTTGGGGGAACCCCTTTGGATTGTGGACATTCTGCGTGAGTCTGTTGTCAGGGAATTCCGCGCGGATATGGTGCACGGTCCAGATGCCACAAATGAGGCCTGGTTGTGCCTTTCACATGTCGGATTCTTCACGTAGCTCGCAACAATCAATGAAGACTCTGGCACATATGCTGCAGCATAGCGACGCATCTTGTGACTTGCCATGCAAGTCCAGTGCCTCTATTCAATGTTGATGCAGGATGTGATCATGTGCGATTTGGCGCCATCACTGGAGGCAGTGCTGAATGGTCGATGCCTGAGCATGCATGCGGAGAGCTATACGTTCAAAATCCCTCATGGCTTCAATGGCCTTGCTTGCTTCGTGTTCGAGGAACGGACTCTGTGCTGTTCATTGCCGGCGTGAGCGATGGCGCGCAGGACGCTTGCAATGACTGGCGCGAAAACCTGCGCTGGGTCGTCTCATATTCATTCGCAAAATCACCTGGAGACTTGGGACATGGAATTCACCGGGATCATGTTCCACGGGCCCTTTCAGGCGGAGCTCATGGACGGGGCGGAGGGCCTGGCCGCAGCTGCAGTGTGGCAGCTAGCGCAGGAGCTGCATGACAGACAGGCGAAGCGGCTTGGACAAGGGGGGGGCAGTTTCCTTTTGGGACTCCAAAAAAGGGAACCCCCAACAGTCTTCTTTGTGTTTGTCTCATATGGGAAGGGGGGGGTTTTCCTTTTGGCCTTTTGGGAACTTGTGCAGTGCACCGGCAAAAGCAACACATTATAGCCACAAACCCAAGCATACCATACACCCTCAGGCAGGGTGGTTTACTGAAACCTCTGGATCAGGAGTGACATTGAAGATGTCAGATGAACAGGGGAGTGTTCCCCCCAAAAACGAATCCCCTCTAGGAAGAAGGAACCGGGGCGGAGAGGGGCAGCTAATGGCAGGCCAACCACAGAGCCAACGGCGCCGTTGGGTACACGTACCACATGAGGCGGGCCGCCATTCCTGTTTTTCTTGTTTTCTTCTTTTTTCTGTTTTTTTCTTCTGTTTTTTTTTGGTAAGGACTGCAGTCCTTTGGTGAAGTGGAAGGGTCACTGGAAGCGATGCTTTGTGGCAAGGCTTCAATCCTTTCATCTCAGTGGCGATAGTCTTGCTGATCTCCTTACAGATACCCCAGAAGCAGCCCGACTGGTGGATATGCCCGTTGGAGTTGTGGCGGAAGGCAGGGCTTACTTAGGGTTTTGGAGAGGTCTTTGAGCTGGCATATTTGCCTCTAACATGCTTGCTCCTTTGAACCAATCAAAAGGCGGCGGCAAACAAGCAACACGCCTCAGGGAGGAATAGCATCCTTCAAAGCCGCGGATGCCTGATGCCAGAATTGCAGCGACGCTGACACCACCAGATTGGACGTGCAGCTTTTGGCCAGCCGCCGCGCAGGTGTGCGCACAGCAAGTGCGACCTCGGCAGATGAGCCTTGGCTCAGCTGCTTGATCAACTTGCACTGAGTGGAGTATTTTTTCCTGCTCAGGAATTCATGAAATATGTCGAAGGTGCACAACGGAGAAGAGATCCTTCAACGCGCCAGCATGGCAGTACAGTCTTCATTCTTGACGTGACTCAGGCAGGCACGTGCGTGATGAGGACGTTTCTCCACGTTTGATAAGCTTTCTCAGCAATCGCAATGTCGATCTTCGGCAGAGTCGCTTGTATTGTGCTCTATGCGAGCTGCCAAAGCTTGAACATTTGCAGGCTGACTACTACGAGGGCTGGGGCCTGCATGGCCGTTTTCTATTGATCGAGTCTGTCGTCATGGACTGCTTGTCGGAGGACGTTGCCAATGGTTTCGGTCAAGCATGAGCAAAGGTGTACAGTGGCGCAGACAAACACTTTCTTCTAAGCACGGGCAGCGAGCTGATGCCAGAGCATGATGTCACGAGCACACTCGGAGGACAAAGGTCTGGTGCAAGTGCGCGAAGGTTATGACCGCTACCGAGGGGACGCTTGGACGACACGGTCGTCCCTCTTTCTTCTTGGCATCGGACATCCTTGTGGCCTTTCTTAGGAATCGGGCCCCGCAACAATGAGAGTGGTTTGTTCTTTTTGGTTTCCGTGTTAAATTCCACCCCAAAAAGGGTAAACTCTTCTGGTTTCCCTGTTAAAACAGCCGCAAAAAGGGTTCCAGCGCCCTGAACTAAAGACACCTGAGTGGACACTGGGATTTCAGAGGTCTACCACATGCGCAGCTTGGCCAAATCCTGGAAGCCCGGAGAAGCCTGCGAAGTCCATGGCTCCTCGTTGACCTGGCTATTGCGCGAAGTGTTCACAGGTGGGCTACGAGTAAATTTTTCAGGCTCTTTTTTCGCCTTGTTGAAAAGGGAGCCAACAAAACACGATTTTCTTTTTTCTTGGATCCCCGATTTTGACAAACAATCCAGGTTGGAGAGAGAGAGAGAGAGAGGTTTCCATTTGCCCGTTCGATGCGTAGGTGGCAGCATTGAAGCCCACTTTCTGTTCTGCCTCGCACAGGGGAAGGCTGCTGTCAGTCGCCTGGCCCAAAATCTTGAGTGATACTTTGGGGATGAGTTTTGGCAAGTAGTGTGCTGGATAAGAACATGTGGGTGAAATGCAGGCATTGCCCTAATGGAGCTCATGGAAGACTTGGGCAAGATTCAGACCAATCCAGCCACTTGTCCAAGCGGTGAATGACTGGCCCCCGGAACGTGGCAAGCGCCCGACGCCCCGATCGGCAGGTGACTCAAGACCACCGGGTTGCTGGCTGGGCCAGGGCGATGCGATGCGAGCGCATTGCGCTGAAGGCGCGGAGAAGCTCCGGGGATGGCGACTGCACTGGTTGACGGCAAGGCTCATACTGTGGGTGGATGAAATTCAATTCGCACCACTTTGAAACCATGGCAAACCATTGTTTGTTGGTAATTACAGAGGAAACATCACCCCAGGGTTCTTTAGGTGGTGCAGGATTTCGTGCATCCGCAGTAAGGACGGTTTTTTCATTTAGTCAATTTGTTGGCGAAGTTGGCGCTAACTTCACACCTGCAAACATGGAAGTGCACAGATCACCTTTGGAAGGCTATCCGTTGGAAAGGTTCCGGCGCGCTTCACCGATTGTTGGGCGGGAATTTTGGTATTTGTTTGTCTCTTTTTCTGGTTACCCCGTTTTGGTTGGTAAGGGACACCAAAAAGGAGCGCCGCCATTTTGGGGGGTCCGATTCCTGAAAAGTGATGCGAGGCGACTGAGAAGGGCGGCGGGTCGGTTGACCGAGACACCCGCAGCCTGATTCTGGAGCTGGAGAAGCGGCTGGCAGCAGCAGAGAGGCGCGATGTGCTGCTCAGACGCGGCTTCAAGCCGAATGTTGGCAGGACCAAAGAGGAGGCGCAGCGAATTGCTGATGCATCTGGGATTTACTTGGTGTATGTGGGTTAAGCAAAGTGCAAGAGCTGATGGAGTTGGACATGTTCAAGCTTGGAGACTGAGGCGCGTCAAGAAAGGGCTCATGCCTTTCAGGACAAGTATGTGGTTGCCCTCGAGAATCAGGAGTGGTTTGATATTCTCCGCTCCAGCTCCAGTCTTGCCAGTAGCATGTTTGTATTTATCTTGTGTACACGACACTGATGGCTGACAATGCTTGATTTGTGCAAGTTGGCCTGAGGAGTCAATGAATGAAAAGCTGATTGGCACGGAGGAGGAGCAACTGAAAGCCATGCAGCAATTGGTCGGAGGCTAAGCTGTGGGCTGGCCGAGTTGAATGGGTCACAGATTTCGTTGATGGCTCTTCTCACGCATGATCACATGAGGGTTGCCCAAAATTAAAAACAAAGGAAGCCCTGTTTCCTAATCGAGACATGATTTTTGGACTCGCACATCATCCATAATGTGATCGATCGTATTGGCTTGGCGGCCAGCCTTGAACTGAGATTGAATCGCAGATGGAGACGTCTGAGATCAAGGATGAGTACAGCAGCCCAGCAGATTGAGCAAGTCTGATGACAGGTACTCAAGTTCATTCTTGTAGCACGATCACTGTAGGCAAGCTGCGTTGGGCTGGATGGAAGATGTTACCGAGGCGAGATGCAATACACTGACAATGTACTCCTCATGATGCTTGAGCAAGAAGTGGCTGAGCTAAAGGAGAGGCTTCTAGCTGGCCCAGGTATGCCACTGACCCCAAATTCTTCATAGCCTGAGCTCTTATGTTCAGTGATCAGTGCACCGATTGCGCCACATGCACCTGCTGGAGCTGCTTCAAGGGCATGCTGGGATGTGTAGTGATGCATCTACTGCTGGTGCAGTTTTTTAGATATCGCGAAACAGGTGAGAACGAGTCTTCTCAAATGCAAGGTGCTGATGACTCAAGGCGGAACAACATGGTCCACAGGTTCATGCAGACACATATTACACTCACTAAAGACAATGCAAGTCGTGATGAGTTATGCCTTTGAACAGTGTTTGTGGCATGCACTTGTGCTGCTGGTGGCAAGGCACTGTTTGATTTCGCTACAACAACTCACAATTTGGGCCCCAACAGGCGCAAATACACAAGGCCACAAGGCTTCATCAAGCTGTGCAGCCCTGCCACAAGCAATGCACCAGCAGCCATGCTTCTGGAGGAGTCAGCAGACAAGAAGTTGGATGACCTTGGCACAAAGCAGGACCTGCCCTTTGGCTTTACATAGCTGTGAACGGTTTGTTGTCTGGCAGGCCAAACGCCTAGAGGATGCCCAGAATTCCGCACAGGACATCTTGCTACTTGAGCTGAATTCAAGCAGCGTTCTCATTCCGTGCGTAGGACCTTCGAGCTCGGTTGGACGCACTGACGGAAGCAAAGATTCAAACTGAGATCCAGAAGGAAGTGCAGAAAGGTGCCTACTTGAGATCGTTGAGTGAAGTGAAGGGTTTTCACGAATTGAATGCCCTGCGTTGCTGTGGCATCGTGCAGCTCATGTTGGGCCCGAGGTGATCTTGAGAACAAGCTCCATGCCTTGCGCTTGGAGCTTCGTGAAGGGCGCTTGGCGGACTCGGTGCAGCACGTGCAGGATGTAGTGACGCAGTTGCGCGCCTTGGGCGCCTTGAACGATTCCCGGTGTTTGCAGGAGAAAGGCAAATATGAGGAGAGCATGAATGAAGAGCTGGAACGGCTTAGGCCGGGACTTGTCTCTCTCTCTCTCTCTGTTTTGTGTGTGTGTGTTGTTTGGTCCATGCGACGTTTGTGCGAATTGCAGGCAAGCCTTGGAGGATGAGCGAAGCAGAGCGAGGCAGGTCAAGGATGACGTGCACATGACGGTCCGACAGCAGATGCAGCGAGAGCGACTCGTCTCAAGCGCCCACCTTCTTCAAGATTTCTGAAGCATGAAGTCTATACGGTCTATACGTACTTCGTTTGGATGTGGTGAGGCGAGAACAGATGGATGTGGTGCTGCAGGAGGAGCGCTGTCTGGCTTCACGTTGCCACATGTTGCAACTCAAGAGCATTTAATCTGCTAGCTTCAGAAAGCCTGTCCAGGAGCGCCAGCAATTGGGGCTCAGCAAGGAGGAGCAACAAAGCGAGGTCAGGGTGGCATTGGAGCAGGCGAAGAGGCGTGCACTGGCAAGTCCTGGGGGGCCATCAGAATGAGTGGGTTGCAGGCAAGCAGAAGAATCGGCACAAGCGGTCCAGCAGCTCGGGCGAAGCAGTGAGTCATGGGGGCTGGGGGGGGGGGGGAGGGGAGGGGGAGGGAGCCCAAATAAGCCCTTAAGCCCCTTATAAGGCCTTATTTGGGGGCCCCCCCCCCCCCCCCCCTTCCTCCCCGCCCAGCTTCTCAAGCGTGAGTCTCCGAGGCAGCTACAGCGAGAAGAGCGGGAGCTGCGCGAGGTCCTTGCAGACAAGCAGCTGGCAGAGCGTCAAGCCCAACAGCAGCAGAGTGCTACTGCGGCTGCTTGGATGAGCCACGCTTTGTGTGATAAGAACTTGAGCTTTGAACCAGTGTTTGGGAAGGTTCAGGGTGGCCGTGCCTTGTATCAGTTTCGAGCATGTGGCATTTGCACTCCAAGGAGGACTTGCAAAGAGCTCGGCGGGATTTCCACCAGCAGCTACTCGAGCTGGCCGAAAGTCCGGCAGCTGGTGGCCACCTCAACGAAAGAGAAAGAGAGAGAGAGAGAGACAGAGAGACAGAAAGAGAAAGAGAAAGAGAAAGAGAAAGAGAAAGAGCAAGAGAAAGAGAAAGAGAAAGGGGACGTGGGGATCTTTGAATGGCACGAACCTGAGTACCTCAGGCCCTGACTCTCCGGCAAGGCAATCAGCCGTGGCATCCTTGCGAGGCCTTTCGCTTGTTCTCATGCTTGCTGAGTTTTATTGTCGTGTTCCTCTTTCCCAGTCAGGCCAACTGGCAGCAGCAGGTGAAAGAGAGCTGGCTTTTCAGGGCCAGTTGGATGAGACAAAGGACAAGGTAGCAGCTACGCTGCAAATGATTGTCACGAGAGCTTGCCCGCCAGAACTGTACTGACTTCTTGCATGGCACATGTTGGCATCCCGTCGAGCACGGTCCAGACAAATGCTACGAAGGCAGAACTCCAGCGAAAGCTCCGTCGAGTTTGTCGCACGGCGCACTTCGGCGGCATTTTAGCCACCGAGTGAGGGACTGGAGAATCGTATTTGTGCCGTCTGACACATCCAGGCTAGACTGGGCACCAGAGACAGCTACCGACGAGGAACGTGCCCGAGTTGAAATGGCACTGGAGTCAGCAGGTGAGGTTGAGATTTCGCAGAGACCGAATCTTGGCTGAAGCAGTGCATAGTTAGTGCTCGAGCTTGGCAGCATGTGGCACTTTCAGAGCTCTTGGCTCGAGGCTCGTGATCGGGCTAAGCAGAGCTCAGGAGCTTCAGAAGGAGCCAGGTGCTTGGCTTCTCGTCAAAAAGGGACGTCACGCTTGGCCTTTTCCAAGGCTGGCATCTCTACAAGACCAGCTTGTCCATGAACGTCAGGAGCACCACATTTGTTTGCATTGTTTAGACGGACAGTCTCGCGCGGATCACGCCTGCCATGCACTTTTGCGCAATTCTACCCAGGAAGCAACAGCAGCTCGTGGACAACACTCTGGTGATCTCGCCAGACTCCAGCAGGTGTGGCACCAAGGGTGAAGAGGTCAAGACGGGAGTTTCCCGGGCACCTGAATGGCGAACATGGAAGTCGCCAAAGTTGCCTCAGGAGAAGAAGAAACTGGAGGCGAGCAAGTTCAAGGGGGTTAGAAAAGAGCTCCCCCGAGCGGAGTCCCTGCTCCTTGTGAGCGATCCGCAGGAAGGGCTGCGGACGGCCGAGGCGGCAGCCCAGCAGGCGAGTGTTCGAAGCGGTTCCGCGCAAAGCCGAAGCTGCGAAGCTGCGAGCGTGAGGCTGAAGAGTCGATGGCAGCCCAAGCGGCCCAAGCGAAAGATGCTCCACCGGCCCTGGGCCTGACTCAGTGACTCCGGCGATTGTCACCAGGTACTGCTTTCGGTTTGTTGCATGCCAGGATCCAAGATCGGCTCTTGGCGGAGGTGCAGATCCAAACAAAAATGCGATATCAACTATCTCAGATGTCGTATTCGAGGTCCAGTCGCTGCGCAGTGCGAACCAGTTTTCAGCTGGTGCTGCCGTGAATGCGCGGCTGCCCGGATAGGGCTTTCTTAAGCTTCTGGACAGAGCTCAGCTGGGGCCCCTGCCAGGCTGATCTTCAGGAACAGAACCGGTCACTGCAGGCGCCGGCGGTCCGCGATTTGCGATCCTCTTTTGGCCGTGACTCGCACGGGGGTTTCGTTTTAGGCGCGCTTGAGCTTTCTGGAGAAGAATTCCCCGGCTGATCGACGAGCGCAGGCGGACTTGTGAAATGTGGTTGGCGCTTTTCATCACGCTGGTGTGAGAAGAATCCATGGACTCAAGATTGGGGTCCAAAAGGGACCCTGGTAAAAGGTAATCCACACCTGTATGGTGTAGCTGCAGCGCGCCCGCCTCGGCCAGGCTCAAAAGAACAATCATCCGTAAAAACAACGCTTGCTTGAGCAAATGATACCGGGGCTAAGTCTGGCGGGCTGCTGGGACCGGCCAAACGAGGAGCTGGGCTGGGCATGAGGGACTGGGCTGAGCTGGGGGCGGGCTGCGCAATGGGGGTTGGGGGCCTTGGGCACGAGGCGTTCCCCTTTTTCTGTGAAACAAGCCGGACGCTCCCGCCTCTCATCTCCCAGCCCTCCACCCAATCGATAGCAGCTGCAGGTTTTAGACAAAATTGGCCGTCAGAGACGTCAAACTGTTACAGCGCCTGTTTGGCTCTGCACCCAGTTTTGACAGACGTGCCCCACAAAGGGTGGGATGACTGTGTCATAGGGCGGGCGAACCAAGACTTGACCCAAAAAAGGTCACGAACAGGATTAATCAAACCCATCCCGCCACCCTGGGCTTCCGCATGCTGCTTGTTACTCCGACACACGTGTCTCATGCAACAAGCCGGACGCTCCCGCCTGTCATCTCCCAGCCCTCCACCCAATCGATAGCAGCTGCAGGTTTTAGACAAAATTGGCCGTCAGAGACGTCAAACTGTTACAGCGCCTGTTTGGCTCTGCACCCAGTTTTGACAGACGTGCCCACTTGTCTCCTGACGCTGCATTTTTCCCCACCTGCGTCGCGCAGAGTCAAGGAGTGGAGGTGGTGTGGGAAGAAGTTGATGAGTAGGCGGAGGAGGAAACCGAACCATCGGAATTTGAGCGGGCTAAATGACGAACCTCCGGAAAACAAACACGGCATTTGTCACGCGCCGGTGCCTCACGGATTTGTGTGAAATCCGCGCCTGTGACCCCGAATCGCCAATTGCAGCGCGTGCGCCACGCCCTAGGGGGGAAACCAAGGTCAAAAACAGCCGCCTTGTGGACCTTGCCGCCAGGGGAAGAGTTAGCAATTAAGATTTGCGAGCTCCCATCAGCAACTGAAGGGCCTGCAGCTTCGCAGTCAGGCGCGCAATCAGTGTTTGGCACCTCAAGGTGGAGCCGCGACGCCTGAGCCCTACGAAGGAGATCAGTTAATCGTCCCTTGGCTTCTTGTATAGACAAGGCGGCAGACGATTCGACTGCCAAATGGTCGAGTTGCGACAGGGGCGCATCCCGAACATACAGTTTAAACACCTCCGACCCCCAACGCCCAAACAATTGGATACGCCACAAATCAATTTGTGCGCTTGCCATGTGCATGGCCCCGGTTGCCCTGGCGGAATGCCCTGTAAAAGCGCGAGCTCCGTTGGGCCAGCGGGTTGCAAGGCCCAAGCGGCGCGCAATTTCCTGGAATGTGTCAGCCCACCCTTGCTTTGTGGCTGGTTTTCCTGAAATGCCGGGGAACAAACAGTCCGCTCTGTTGCTTGACAAGCACTTTAAGTGTTCAAGCATACAGTGAAAGGGGCATACCTTGGTTGAAACAAAATCGCACGCGCATCTATGAGCGCGCTCGGCCCCTATGGCGCGCCAATCAGTTTTACTGGATGGCAGCCGCCATGTTATTTTGAGGGCGTCCTGGTCAACTGAGATATGGGAAACCAAGGAGTGGTGCGCTTCGATTTCCCGCAAAAGCCACCAAGAAACCAAAATAGTGGACCTGCCAGGCCATTTTGGCCCGCCCGGCACTAATGGTTTCTCAAGACACACTTCCCCCAAACGAAGGAGAGGCAATCCTTGCGCTTGCCTAGCGGGGCCAATGCCTCGCCTACAACTGCGAATAGCATGCCTAGCAGCCAGTTGCAATTGGTCAGACCAAGGGTAGCCTAGAGAAATATGCCTTGATTTCGCCGCATCCAAATAGAGTTCGGCAGAGCGGTACCCTGCCAGTTTCAAGGCGCCCATAACGGTAAAGATCAACTCGCAGGTCAAAAGAAAGGTGTTTTGGAAACCTGCAGTTGAAGCAACGCGGTCCCAAAGTTTCCTTCTGGACGCGATGGGCCCCTTGCTGGTTGGTGCAAAGGCTGAATGCACAAGCTCATCTCTGCAACGGTCAGGGTGTTCTTTAGCCAGTTGGAAAGCCAGAGCTGCAGAGCCCCTGGTGTACGGAGCTGGCTCAGCGCCGTCAGGACGGGACGAAGCTGCACCCCCCGTGACACAGCCCTGGGTCAACACAGGCCCCTCTCGCAGCGGTGCCACATCATGGCAAAGCCGAGGTCTTACATTTGGTTCGGCGCCGGACCCGTGCTGCCAAGTCTTGAGAGACCTTTTGAACGGCATCTGGACCGACGAGCTCCAAATAGCAAAAAATCACGAAAACCAAAAAAAAACACCGGAAACAGCAAAAGCCAACACCGCAGCAAAGAGGAAATCAAATGCTTCGTCTATGCGTATGCAGCGTGTGTTGGTGTTTTTCTTTTCAGACTCACAAAACTGGGACACGCCAGAAGTCTGTGTCCACTCGCACGGCCCTCCGCCTTGCGTTTGCAAGGTGCTGCGGAAAGGGCTCGGGAATTGGTGCTTCTAGTCTGGACAAGGCGTCGGCATCTTTGTTTGTGATGCCAGGAATGTGCTGCAACCAATGGATCCTGTACACCTGCAACGCCTGGTCGAGTGCAAACTCGCGGGCCAAGATGTTGAGATCGGCCGACTTTGCACGACCTTTTGCCAACATGCAGATTACACCCATGTTGTCGGACTTTGCCAAGCAAGTGGCGCCGAAGCCCAAAAGTGGCAACCACAACCGAAAAGCTACCAAAAGCGCAAGGCCTTCCCAAACGGTGTTCCACTTGGAATTGCCGGCCTCAGCCTGAAAACGAGCCAGGGCATTCTCCGGAATTGTTGATGCGAAGAACTCAGCAGGCTGGCCCTCCCGCATTAGCACGCCACCAATGCCAAAAGGGCAAGCGTCAGTGATGATCTGAGCGTCCATCGGCCGGTGCATGGCGTGAAATGTGCGCATCAGCGGGGCAACGTCCTCACCTAACAAAGCCATAATCCAAGTCAACGCCTGGCGAAACCGCCTGGTGTGAATCAGCTTTCCAAATCTCTTGCGAGATTCGTCACTCGCTGACCCACTTTTGCCAAGGGCCGCCCAAATCGTTGACAGGAAGGGCCTGAGGTGTGGGACCAGCCCGGCGACGAAGGACAGCCCTCCCGCAAAGGAACGGAGCTGTCTCGCGCCAACCACTGGTTTGGCCAAGAACTGCTTGCAAACGCCTTGCAGCTTTTCCACCTTGTCTGAGGGTATGGAAATTGTAACAGCGCGCTCTTCGTCTCGGAACGAAACACAAGCCCCAATCCACTCAACTGACTTGCCTCCTGAAGCCTTTGCCAATTTGACTGGGAAGCCTGCCACCGCCATCCACAGCAGGATTCTGGCAAGGGACCGCACAGCCCCCGCCAGATCGCCTTGGAGGACAAAGGCCGGATCATCTACATAGATCTGCGTGTCTGCCTGGCGCTCGACTGCAGCAAGGGTTCTCCCAAGCCAGGCGGCATACCGACCCCAGATGGTCGGGCTGGAAGCGCTACCGAACACCAACACATCATAGATGACGATGGAGCTGACGCCGTCTGCGGCAGGTGCTGAAGCTGCTGTGGCGAACTTGTCCTTCCCTGCCGGGATGTTGTGGAACGCGTCCCTGATGTCCACAACTGCGATCCACGGTTGTGTGCCGGATTTGTACGCCTTCAGGGCCGCCTGCGCCAGGTCGGTCAGCTTTGGAAGAAGGATACGCTCGCCTTGCGAGCATGCCAAGTTCGCACGGCTCTCGCGAAGATCCCAAATGATTCGGGATTTCTTCACACCGTTCCTGAACTTCACAACCACTCCCAACTTGTTGAGGATTGGCTTGCGCCCAAGCTCGCTCTCGGCAGCGTCCAAGTCCGGGACACGGTGACAAAACCCTTGTTTCTCAGCCTCTGCGATGAGTCGGACAAGATCCTCCTGCTCCTCCACTGCAGATTTGTAATTCTCCCACCCAGCTTCGCTGCGTACAAGCTGGTTGATTGCCTCGGCTTCCCACTCAGAGCCTGCCACCACCGGAAAGATTCCGTTAGAAGGAATAGGCTCTGAGAAGCCGAGAGGGGCGCCGTTGTCCAGCCAATCAGCCAAAGTGCGTGAGTCCGGATCCCCTGAAGCATCTCCCCAAGCACGGATGATGTCTGCAGAAAGAGCAGTCTTCGCCTTTGCAGTCCTTGCTGTAGAGCTTGGCTTTGCAGATAGAACGGTCAAAACTGAATCCCTGACTGCCGCAACTACGCTTCCGGATAGCTCTTCAGGAGCCCTGCCTGTAAGGATCGCTTGAGCTGGGCTCTGCAGCTCCGGCCACAGCTGAAGAGCTTTATCCAATAGCTGCTGAATTGTGGCCCCAGTCGCCGCTGCTCTTTGCACCAGTGGAACAGAACGGGAAGGATTTCGCATGCCTCCCAAAGCTTGGCAGTTCTCCAGCTCCCGAGCAGAAAGCTCCGGAAAAGCCGGAAGGAACGCACCAAAGCTTTGCGAGAGTCAGGGAATGTCTTCCCGCCTCAGCTCCTCAGAAAGCCAGCCCGCGCAGGCCTGTGTCTTGTGGATCGCTGCCGCAATGGTCTTGCAAAATTCAGCTGTGTAGCGCCCCAACGCTTTGGACGCCCGCTCCTGCCCCTGCTCGCCTTCTCGCCAGCGCTGGACTGGGGAGCAATGCTTGGCCTTGCGAACGGAGCCATCGGACATGGTCCATTCCCGAAGCTCATGGTTGCACCGCAGCTCGTTGAGGTTGCTGAAGTCTAGAAGGTGGACAAGGAGCCGCGTGGGCTTGGTGACCTCGCATCCCACACGACACTGATCAAAGTCAACTGCCTCAAACTTGCATCGATCCACAAGCTTCAAAATCTCTGGCATGTCCCACAACTGCGGCTTGTTCTTGGAGTGGGTCGGGTTTTCGATCCCCACCGGAAGATGGAGAAGAGCCATTTCGCAGGCGCTTTCTGCAGAATGGGAGACCAGGATGTTGGCCTCTTTCAACTGCTTCTGCTCTGCCAATGACAAGCTTGCCTTTGGCAAGCCCTGAATTCGCTCTTTGGAACGGAGCGGCCTCGGCCCGGGCGGGTGCTCTCTTAGAGGAGAAAAGGTGTTGCATGGGGTTGCAATCCACGCAGCCTGAAACACGCCTTTCTTGATGTCAGCGAGAAGGAGCGTCCAGACCCTATCATCCAAGAGGTTTGTGGGTGTTGGAGCTTCGGTGTCTATGCAACAAACTCTCCAGCCCATCTTCAACAAGCGGCATCGAATGTCTCCCTCGCGCGCCGGGCCAGAGAACAGAATGAGTGCGCACGGTCGCTCTTGCCGTCCCGTAGAGGGCTCAGACCACCAGCCATAGCTCGTAGGGTTTGAAACAATCGCTGCCTCTTCGGCGGCGGGCCTTGTGGCTCTGGCACTTTTCTGGACGCAGGATGCAGGAAGCCCTGCCCAGGTGCCTGCTGCGCTCTGCCGGCGCTGCCAGGCGCGGACACAGCCCCCGCGCCTGGCCGGGCCATGGGTCAAGGCTTGGTGCAGGCAGTTGCCTGATGCGGCCCCAAGCAGCGGTTGCACTGATGCGACCGTTTCTTGGACTGCTGGCACTTGCCTTGAGCCTGTGTGGACCCACACTCATTGCAGTTGTACTTGCGGCAGATCTCGATGCCTTTCCTGTTGTGGGTGTAGATGCCTGAGCTGTCCTTGAAGCTCTTGTCCTCACCGTTGTAGGTACGTTTGGCCCGAGCCTTCTTGGCGGGGCCTTGCGAAGGCACAGAAGCTGTTCCGGGCTCATCTGCCTCGCTGCTTGGAGCAGCCCGCCGCTTGTTGTTTGCCAGCCACAAAGTTGCCGGGATGACTACTTCCCTGGACCAGAACTCGTGGTCTCTCACTGCCTGAGCAAAGACTGCTGGCCATGGATCCGTGTCAGAGAACCCGGCAACCTTTCCCACTCGCAGCTCGCGACGGATGCGCTCCAGATGCTCCGATCTCATCCGAACATCAGCCCTGTAGATGACCCACCACGACTCCTCACCGAACTGAGTGATGAATGACCTGATGTGCTCTGAGTATGCGTCAAGCCGCTCCGCATTGCATGCTTCAATGAGGAGCATGGTGCATCTGAAGCATTTCCAGCACCTGTACCAATCGTGAAATCCAGGAGGGCCTGGCTGCTCCCGCTTGCACCACTCACCTGTTGCGGCGTTCAACTGGTAAGCAGTGTACATCTGGCGTCGCAACAATCTAAGGCCGTGCGGCCCGAATATGCTGAAGTCCGCGTATGGAACCGACCCAGACTTCACGACTTGGTGTAACCCCGCGAGCTGATCTGGGGAAGGATCGGAATCGGCCCCAGGAAGGTCTCCGTAACGCTTTTTGTACTCTGTGTACATGTGAGAAGCCTCGGTAGCTGTCAAATTCACAATCTCGGCATCCAAGGTGGGGTCGACCACCGAAGCCAGCTTGAGCCGCCTAGACGCAGGCGCTGCTCCCGGCGTCACGCCTTGAGGACCTGCAGGCGGCCCAAGGGCTGAGGCAACTGGCGCTCCTGTCGACCCTGGATGATCGACAGGCATGCCAACCCTGAGCAAGCACACCCTCCTCAGTGACTCAGCACGAGCTACTTCCACTGGCTTCAGTTCCCTCTCAGTGGCGGGAACTGCACTGTCGGTTGACTGCACGGCAATCTTGAGTGCAGAAATCGCCTTATCCCAATTTGGCCTATTGATGAGAGCAATCTCTCTGATCTTCGCGGGTGTTCCCAGTTGGTTCATGAGAGACTGTTGCAAGTCGCCATCTACCCCAGACCAAGCACATGCCTCCGCCAAAGTAGAAATGGCCTCTAATTCGCTGCCGTCAGGATCCATGACTGAATGGAAACGCGGTCTCTTCACGAAAGCGGGAATCTGACTCAGCGTGTAGTCAAGGTAAGGCCGTCGGAGGAAAACAGTCCCCGAAGCAAAACCCAAGCTCACAACCAAAGAGGCCCAAGGGATCCCTCGGAAGCCACTGGCCCTGAGCTCGAGACTGCCAGGTCCTGCCCCCCCTACGAGCCGAACCAAGACTTGAGCCAAAATGGCTACGGACGAACAGGATTAATCAAACCCATCCCGCCACCCTGGGCTTCCGCATGCTGCTTGTTACTCCGACACACGTGTCTCATGCTACAATTCTATCTCCCCACAATGTAAAACAAGGAACGCCGCAGGCGCGCGAAAACCAGTGGTTTCTGGGCCGAATTCCTGGCTGAGCTTGAAACTGGCTAGCTTGGGCTGAGTGCTTGGACTAGCTAGCTCAAGCTGGACTGAAATGTTGGGGCTGGGGCCATGGCTGGCCTCAGGGCAGCTGGAGCATGGGTTTTGAGTCACGTGACATCGTGGGCACGGGCCGACTCCGAGGGTTGGGCAAGGTAAGGGATCTGATCTGACCTCTCCCGGCCAGGAGGTGAGTTTTCTCTCGCAAACGGACTCCTTGATTCTCCATGTCTATGCCAACCGTGGCTCACGAGTCAATTTTGCTTGTTGGCGGGATGCTACCCCAAGTACCAAAAACCAGGGCCAGGCCCCCGTCCAAAGGGGGAAAAACTAGTAAGTCCGCAGCCCTCTCTTGAAGTAGGAGCAAAAAAGCAATCCAAAGATGCGCGCTCACGTCTCCAACGCTCTGGTGTTGTTTCTGGAGTTGGCATGGTCCTTAGTTTGTTTGCCACCCAAGTACCGCCAAGTTTTGGACCTTCGGTATGCATGATGCACGGAGCACGGCGAAGCAGTTGACCAGATGCCGGGTGTGCCAAAAATGGAGTGCTGGGAATTCTCGTTCGGGACAACTCAAGGAGATCCTTCGTGTGTTTTATTTCCAGCGAGTGGTATCCAGGCGCAGCGCAATGCCTTCCTCGAGAAGAGCATTCGCAGCCTTGAAGCTGAGAGGTTCGATACCTTCAACCAAAGGAGACATACCCATTGGGCGCTTGAATCCCGCCGGCCCTGCAGGTCCGAGCTCTTGGTGCGAACGACCGTCGCTGAGGAGCAGCTGAAGCAGCTGCAGAAGCATCTGAAGGATGTGCCGTTTCTGCGTGTTCGTGCGTTTTTTTTTTTTTTTTTGGGGGGGGGGGCCTTGCTTGTTTGGGGTTTGGGGGTTTGGTTGGCTTGGGGGTTTGGGGTTTTGGTCGGGTTTTGGAAAACACTGCAGGAGATGACCGAGGACTACCAGATGCAGATTCTGAACCTGAAAATGAAAGGAAAGACAGGCTGATTCCATCTTAACACACACACACACCACCTGTGGCGGAATGTGTCCTTTGAACTAGCAGATGCGACCTTAGAAGGGATAGCTTCAATTCCAGCTTCAGGGGTGTTTTACTCCCATCGTTATTTTGCTCGGATGCACCAGCATGCAGCCTTGAGATGGGAATGTGCATAGATGTTTCCGTACTGGGTCAACAACAGCCCAGTTGTCCAGCGGATGGGTCGAGTGAACATCGCTTGTGATCCGCTCAGATGTGTGAGTGAAACAACTGTGAGCCTGTTCCAGCGTGCTTCCTCATGCCACCTTGTCAGACCGAGGCAGTTTGGCATGTTTAACATATTATTAGAGCAATTCAATAATTAAAGGCACCCACATTGTCTAAAAGTCAAGTTTAACGAAATGCATGAAGTTCCGTTGGTTCCTTGCTATGCTCAGTATGGAATGAGACCGAACTTTTTCTGACGCAACCAGCTGTACCTTTTGTCCAAAAACCAGGCATCCTGTTCAAGATGCCATGTGTGTGCGTGTGTTCAAGCCTAGGGCTTGTTGAAGCATGAGCAAACAATTCTACAAGGCGCCCTTTCCAGATAGTTTGAGTGCCGGGAGAACTGCAAACAAGGACGTACTATATTGCAGCCGAAACGTGCAAAGCTTAGGGGTTAAGTGCTGAGTTGGTCAGGTGGGCCTGCAAATATAAGAACATTCTGCCTTAAGGACCGGCTTGGACTCAGGTCGACCAATGTGAAGCTTGCTTATGAAGTGTTTCTATTGACCAGTCTTGTCTTGCGGCCACCGCAACAATACGACATGCAACAAGAGCGTGTATGTGCCACAGATAGCTTCAACCGCCACTTGTATCATTGTCTACATTCCCCGTGACTCGGGGCTACATGGCCGTATGATACTGGGTTCCAAACTGTCACGAGTAAAGGCCAAACTTGTCGATGCATTTTTCTGGCATGAACTTTGGCTAAACACCAAGTGCCAGCGCAAGGTAAACAGTGTTTGTCAGTTTCGAGCGGCCTTCCGAGCCATGAGCTGCCCCTATTGCTTGGCCTATGCACCTGGTCCGCCGGCGCGCGGCGCGACGCAGCGAGAGCAGAGCCGAACTTTGGTGAAGGCGGAGAAAGCTCGAGGAATCCGCTCGCCTGAGGGATGCTTCCAGCGTTTTCTCGGTCTAGCAGTTGAGCAGTTGAGCAGGTCAGTTGAGCAGTCAGCACCACGGCATGTTGCCTTGGCCAGTCTTTTTTTTGCCTTGGCCGTGTGAGTGTGAGGCGTACTGGGAGTTTGAGGAAGGCCAGAGCCGCTGGCTGGGCTTCTCTCCCAAAGTCAGCATGCTTCTGGAAACGGCCTACCAGAATTGGCTCCAAAATCCGAGCGACTTCTGGCTGAAAGTGGGCATGAGGAACGCAAGAGAGGCATTGCCAGAGTGACGGAGGGAGGCGAGAGAGACACACACACGGGACGCAAGATGGGTGAGGGGCACGAGGGAGAGGCACAACAGAGAGGCTCTGTTTTGTGCCTGGCATCGTGCTAAGGAGCTGCGGACACAGATCCCTGCCAACGGTTTCTTGTGGGTGACCTAGTTGTAGCCTCCATGGTATGCAAAGGCTTCTCTTTGCCAGAGGTACAATGTCGACTATTCTACTCTCCTTGAGGAGGGTCAGCGCCAAAGTCAGCGCATTCGCCGCGTTGGTGTTTCTTGGCCTGCATCCGGCATCCACATTATCTTAACAGAGCTGGCTTGGCACAGGCACACCGAAGTGGTGAGAACTCTACTGCACCTAGGTCACAGCCGACACCAATGGCGAAAAGGATAAGGCGAAGCCACGTTTGCCGCTTGCGTAGACGCTCACGGGACGCTTTTTCTTTGGAGGCCTTTTGCACCGTTGATCCCGGACTCTGGCGGGAGATGCAAAGCAAGCTTCAGAGCGCGCGAGAGGAGCAGGACGCACACTAAGTAGGGTGGGGTAAAACTCGTTGAAACAAATGTCCGCTGGTTCCCTTCAGATGGAAAACAGAAAAGGACGTTGTTTCGCCCTGACACTCGCATTCTTTTTTCGCTCCCACGGAAGACGGGAAGCGGTGGGAAGCCATCTTTTGGTCAAAATTGCCGGGGTTTCTATGGTCTACTTGTGATGCCACCCATCAGGAAGGATTCAGAAAGAAAGAAGACGTCCTCTTGGGGAAACGTTCGATATTTTGACTGTACCTCATATCCATTGAGCCGCTGGAAGCTCGGCGCAATGAGTCAGGCAAGTGAAGGTTGGTAAGGAACAGCCCCAGCCACAATAGATTCTGGGTCGACCACTTGAAATACCAAAGGCTGAGTGGTTTTGAGGCCGTGGCTCAAATGCCAAAGGCCGAGGCCTTAGAAACCGGCCGGGTGCAGTGCAGAGGACTGGCTGCTCCGCTTGCTGCAGAGCGACTCGGAGGGCGGGAGTCGCAGCGTTGCGACACTTGCAGAGGAGCCGAGGTTGGGGAAGGCAGAGAGGTCGGAGAACGAAGATGGCCCAGAGAAATTTGAAAGTGACCACTGCTCAGAATGTTTGTGCTCCAGAGTTTTAAATTTTTAAATATGCCTCCCAGATTGCTTCCAAGGGAAAATGGGGAGCGATAACATTGCAAAGAGCATCTGACACATTTACCTCCCAATCGAAGTTAAAAGGGGTTGTCTCAAAGGGGAAGCCCGAACCGCCCGAACCGCTGAGTGATTTTCCCTCGAACCCCCAAATCCTTGGTTTCCCTTTCGAACCACCCCCCAAACACGGGGGGATTTTCAACCCCCAAACCACTGAGTGTGTTTTTGTATCTCCTTGGTTTCCCTTTCGCGCCCCCCCCCCCCCCAGGGGGAGGGGGGGGGGGGGCGTTTCCCTCCAACAAGACGACGACGCGTTTCCGCGTGCCAGGAGGTGCAGCGCCTGTGGCAGCGCTGCGGGCGCCAGGCGGCGGAGCTGGAGACCCTGCGCCGGCTCGCCGAGCAGCAGACAGAGCTGCTGCAGCGCCTGCGCCGCTGGGGCTCTGACGTCGCCGGTGGTTTTGGGGTGAATTTTGCCTGGAACCGCCACGAAGCGCTTCTGGGAGTGTCCTCGGCTTTTGGAGGCTACCCAATTTTGGGCGCTGTTTTGGCTTGGAACCGCCACTAAAATATATTGAATAGGGTGAAAGACAGGGAAGGTGCGGGTGCGCCTTTGTTTTGTGTTGGTACCCTTGCTTTGTGGTTTTAGAAGGACAACCCGAAGAGAAACCACCATTTTGAAGAGTCCGATTTCAGCAAACACACGCCGCTTTGTTTGGTTCTCTTGCAACAGCCGTTCCCCCCCTTCCCAAACCGACAGATGCACTGGGTTGGACAACAAGTTGAGGTTTAGGGTGGGACAAACACCAGCCTTTGGTTTAATAAGCCAAAAATGTGATTTCTCGTTTCTGAAATTGAATGGTTGGAACACACCAAAGATGGCTGATGGACACGGATTCCCATGTCAACGGTGATTCACCATTATCTATCTACTGTCAAGGGACAAACATTGGGTTCATTCACCAAATGGCCACGTTGGGAAACGGAGGTTTCTCAGCGCTCATGTAAACGATGCCAACTTGGGTCCAATCACTCGAACCTTCTACCCTATCGCTTCGGACACCAAATTTTCATCTTAAAGTGTGGACAAGTGATAGCCTTTGCTTTGGCGCCAAAGAGGAGGGACGACGCCTTGGAAGGTTCCTTCGAAAATGACATACCCAAGTGTCTGATGTGTGATGTTTTTCGAGAGAATATTTTGGAGATGAAGTTGCGGTTGCTTTGCAGAAGTTCCAACTGTGACTTTGCTCGTGTTTGCAGTCCCCATTGGCTCAGATGCTGCGGTGCTGCCCGGCCGGCTGCTTTGGGCTGCGGGGCGGCTAAATGTTGCTGCTGCTGTCGAGCAGGAAGTTCTTCTGCAAGGAGCGGGGCATCAACAATATTACATCGATATGTGTAACGTAGAGTTTCTTCTTCACATATACGTATACATCCATAATGCATTATACATATTACATATTTATATATATATATATATGTATGTACACATACAAATACACGTTCGCATCATGTAGGTCTGCATTTGGTTCTGGTCAGGTGAGGAGGAGCTGCTGGCAGTGCCCAGGGAGGAGGTGAAGTTAGCACATTTGGGCATGCTGGCGCGGCCGGGCTCCAAAGTGCTCTTTCCGGACGCAGGACCGATGGCGTTTTTCGCTTTTTGCTCGGCTTGAAACCCAAAGCCGCCGTTTTGGGCTGACAGGAAGCCTTCGAGAAGGCGTGGTGTGTGGTGTTTCCTTGGCTGGGCACGATGGTTCGCAGGCGAACGGTGCCTTGGCACAGCTCTGGAGTTTTTTTTCTTCGTTTTTTTTGGTGAAGCTCTGTTGCAGCTGTTGCAGCTGTTGTGGTTGTTGTTGCAGGTGTTGTTGTTGCAGGTGTAGTTGTCGTCAAACTTGCAGTTGTTCGATTGAGGTGAGCGTTGTGTGGACGTGCTTCGGCCCAACGGCCGATCCGCTTCCGTGCCACTGGCTTTGCTGCAGCCCCGCGAGAGCAGTCCAGGCGTGGGAACGCGGGCCTTGGGCCTTGGGGTCTGAAGTGACCGCAGGCAAGCTGAGTGTGGGCGACCTGGTGCGGCGAAGCTGCATTTTGGTTGCCGCAAGTCTGGTTGGAGCATGCTGTGAGTATCGGACTTGTGCGGCGCTTGCGCATTTTGTCTTTGCGTTCACACATAAATCATAGTAGGTTGGGCGCCAGCCAACAGTTTCGCCTGCTGTGCAAGGCGTTCGTGTTCGGATGATGCATTCGTCGGCACGGATGACAGCTGCCAGGCTGCAAAGAGCTCATGAGCCCCTTGCCGTACAGAGAAGGATGTAAGCCGCTGTTGGCCTCATTGCTACTGACAAATCGAGTTTCTCAACTTTTTTACAGAACGCACGCACGGCTTTTGAATTCTGAGGGCCTGCGCTGGGGACCCTGGGCACGGTGCTGCAGGTGGAGGCGGCGGAATGGGGGTGTCTCCATGATTTCAAATTGGCTGCAGGTAGCCTCAAACAGTCAGACAACTCCAAGTGCTGTCAAGCTTTGAAGGACTCTCATGGCTGTTGATTCAGGACTCTTGCGAGAGCAACGGCATCCTTGTGCGCTTTCCAGATGCCGCTTGGAGTTGATGTCGTATTTGAGCATGAGCCGTACGCGGCTGAGTCTCTCTCTCTCTCTCTCTCTCTCTCTCTCTCTCTCTCGCTCTCTCTTTGTCTCTCTGTCTCTGCGTCTCTCTCAACACCAGGAATCAACTTTTCTCCCTTCGCCGATTTGCACCGATGCATACTTCAGCTTGCGGTCGCCGAGGCGGACGGCTGCCGGGACCAGGCTTACACGCCGCATCAGGCACAGGAGGAGCTGCAGTTGGACAAGGCGGGGGGGAGCGATGTAGGTCTGTGGTTTGGGAGGTTGTGAGGTAGTGACAAAGGGACCCCAATATTGCGGTAAGGGTGTCCCAAACACCACAACTCAGTGCCAAGCTCAGCTTTCATGGTGAATCAAGCCCAGGCTTTCCGACCACAGGGTTCCCGATTCACGAATCATGCCTATGTCTGACCCTGGTGGCTCGCAAAAATCGGAGGACCTCGACCGGATTCGCCCGGGCGCAGCTGTCCGGCTGAAGCCGGAGCCACAGCTGCTTTGACCACGGCCAAGTTTTGTGGGGTCTAGCAACAGGTGAGGCAGGAGCTTTCTGAAGTGTCAGCCTTCATTGCTCTTGACTTGTAACATCTCTTCATGTTGGATGTTGAAGCATCTAGTCACTATCTCAAAAGTTGGATGCGCAGGTGACATGTTTTATCATTGTTGCAGGTCATGCCTGGGAGCGCACACGGAGACAGGCCAAGAGCGCGCACGTAAGCTTGCGCCGAATGCGAGCTCAGGAATAAAACCCAGAAGTCCTTTTTCGGGGGGTGGGGGGTGCTTCGTTTTTTGGGCATCAACCAATTCGAGGCTTATTTCGCGAGGGTTCTTATTGAAAGCGACGTGTGAAGGTGTGGTCTTCGCGCTTCACGGTGATGCCACGGCTGTGGTGGACTTCCTGGGCCACTGGGGTCCGCACCCCGGCCCGGGCGCTGCTTGACCAACAGGTGGACGTGTTTTTTTTTCCCCCCCCCCCTTTTTTTCTTCCATTTTTTTCTGGCTTTTGAGGGTACCATGTTTTTTTTTTTTGCTTCATTGGTTTGAAACTTCGAAAGGGGACACCAAAGGGAAGCCTATCTTGGGTTCCCCCGAAAAGAAAAAGACACCCATGTGGGGTGTGGGTCAATATTAAACCACCAGGAAACGGGCCGCAGAGTTTAGCCATGGTTTCCATTTACCACGTTTTGGGGTAACTGCGGTAGCCCTATTTTGGTAAATAGCACATGTTGGCCCAATAGGGCAAGCTATGGGGTTACCCTGTTTTAGACAACCACAGCCACGTGTCGATGTCCAGCGAGCGAAAACCGCAGGACAGCTCTGCCCAGCGGCCAGCTTGGAGCTGGTGGAGGACGCGCTTGCGCTTGCCCCCGGTTGCGGTGAGTCTGGTGGTTGCGGTAGGGGAAATCCCCCAAACGGTGGGTGGTGGCGAAATCCCCCAGAATCCCCGATGTTATGCTTCCCCTCTAAATATCAAACAATGGTTTGCTATGGGCTCGCAGTGGTGCAAAATGGATTTCGTCCACCCACAGTAGTGGCTTTCCCTTTGGTTTCCCTTTTCGGCAACCCCAATAGCCTACCATTACAAAAATACTAGGCTGACTTTGAGCAAGGTGTTGCCATGCGCTACACGAAGACAATGCGTGGACTCAGCAAATTGGGCAGTCGGCCAGGAGCCTCCTGCTCTAGAGGTGGAGATCATCAAGACGTTGAGCGAATGTTGCGGCCTGAGATGCCGCATGCTCCCCGACGTTCTCAGCGGAGTGTCGGCTTCGCACGAGCCGTATGCTCAGGTCTCACCTGGCAGGAGATGTTTGCCTCGAAGTCCTGGCCTGATTGCGAGCCGACCATTGCCATGAATGTGGAAGTTGGAAGTTGAGTGTTGCGATCGAAGGGCAAGGAACGGGCTCAACTCGGTTTCCTCAATTAATATCAAATTATACATTTTAGATAATGATGTTTATATGATCGAAGGCGAGATAGTTTGTTTTCATAACGATGTTTTAGGAAAAACAACCACAATATGTTTACACTATTTTTTTGGAGGCGGCCTTGCCAGACTCGCGCACCAGGAAGATGGACGGAAGGCCTGAGCCTGGCCTTCACACGGTCCGATAGGCAAAATGCGCGGCCCGCCGATGGCTTTGTGTCAATTTGCCTTGGATGGTTTTTGTGTATAAAAAAAATGATGGTATGTAATATATACATACATATACATACATATATTGTATGCACATATATATATATATATTGTATACATACATATGTATATATATACACACTTATTTGTAGGTCTATCTAGATATGTGTATATGCATATATATATGCATATATCTATAGATATATGTATATGTACATATATATATATATACACATTGTTGAGTTCGCAAGCGGTGAAGTTGTAGGGAGCCACAGCGATCAGTCTCAGCTTCGGTCCAAGTCATCGGTCCAAGACAGGACGACATGGCTGTAACTGCTTCAGCATTTCTCACACGTGTTTGGACTCATGTTGCGCAGTGCGTGGCTCACAGCGCAGCGTCGGGGTGTGCCCTGGATCTTTCTAAGCTTGCTTGCATCCAGATCCGCCTGAGACTCAGTGCGGATTTGCCCCCGTGGCATGGGCCCGGTGAGAGGTGAACACAAGTCAGAAATTTCCACGTCACTGTGACTCCGTGATGAATTGACATGCTAGTGGAAAGGTTCCTTTGCGCCTGCTCTCAGGTTTGGCAAGATGGGTCTGAAAATGCGTTTCTTTCACCCCATGTGGCGATTGGCTCAGAGCTCTACCGATTTTGAGAGCTGATGGGCTTGAAGCGCCTTGGTCTCTCAGGTTTACCCGATATTACTGGGGGACCCTGGCCTTGATCAACCTTGGCGGCTTCCTTGCCGACCAGCAGTCTGGGGCTCGGTGGACCTTTGAGTAAGCCTTGGCGAATCAGACGTCGGGCTTGCCATGAGGTACGGCGTCGACCGTTCCAAGCGCCTTGGTCACATTGTCGTCTTTGGCCTTTTCCGATGGATTCACTACACAGTGTTGGTTGCGCTTTCTGACAAGCGGCTCAGGAACCCTAACATCATGTGGCCGTGGTGGCACGAGATCATGCGCAAGAAAGAGAAGGGTGAGATTCCCATGGAGATGCCCGGGTACATGCTGGCTTCTTGACTTGAGCTACTGATGCACGCTGGGTGGCTGATTCAGTGTTGTGCTTTCGAAATGTTAAACAAACACCAGGCTAAGTACCGCAACGAGACGGAGGAGAAGTGGACGCACTGGCCTAAGAAACATCGCGTTGCGAAGAACGCATTCTCTCAAATGAGTCGCCGGCACTCTAGATTGTAGTTCACTGCTGGTTTGCATGGGGGCGCGCCCCGAAGTACCAATTAACCAGGAAAACCCCCAAAAAAAAACAAATGCGCAGGTGCTGGGGGTCAGAAGGATAGTTGCTCGTGTGGTCTCCCTAAAGACCTGCGTTTTCTCCGGTGCTTCAAGGTCGCAAAGGAGCTCCGAGTTCGAAGGCTTCCTCAACGTGATGGAGGAGGAGTGAGCGCTTTTCTGAGCGGAAAGGCTATACCGTTTGCGGTGCACAACGGCAGATCTGTTTTCTGAACGCCTTGTTTTTTCTTTTTGTTTTTCAGTGGCAGTCAAGCCTTCGTTGGTGTCTGAGTTGTGCTTTGAGCCTGCGGCAGCTTTGGCCAAAGTAATCAGGGTCTAAGATTGTCACTGCATCCACTTCTTGGGGCCACTGAATCTTAAAACAATGTTAGCCAGTCGTCATGCTACTACCAGCAAGAGCATGTGCTGCAGGTGGTTCACCAGTTTCTTGTGCATAGCAAGCCCCTGTCCTCATTACTTCGACTAGATTCTAAAGCGCCGCAGAAAGCTGGTCCGGGCTTCGCAGTCTTGACTTGGCTCATTTGTCTATCAGATCCGATGATTGCAGCCACTCATTGGAGTTGCAAAGTGATGGTGATGTTCCTTCATGACTCGCGTTGCTTGGCTCTGGCTCGGCCGCTTGTCAATGGTCCTGCTTGCGCAGGCACCGCAGTTGAGTTGCCTTGACTGAGTTTTTGTATGATCATTGCCACAAAGCCACTGCACTGAGGCCACTACAGAATCCTCCAAAGAGAGGCGGGCTTGTGATTCGCAGTCTGTGGGAGCTTGGAAGAGGGAGTGTCCCACCTGCTTCGATTTTGTGTTGAGCAGGTGCTGTGGCATTTTCAAGAGTGCCCAAGCCGACGAAGCTTCGTGTTCATAGCTTCAGCGAGGTGCATGAGACTCTGTGCGTTGGTCTTCTCCTCGGCGTGCTTGGATACCTGGAACTTCCAAGCATCTTGACCCGAGGTGTTGTTCAGATGTGCATGGATATTTTCGGCCCAAGATTTCGACCCGCCATGACCTTAAGGGGAGGGCACGGGAGGCTTGCCATGAGCAGAAGAAATTGCTGAGCATTCCAGTAAGCAGGAAGTGACTTATTGCTTTTGCATTTTAGCCCGAGGTTTTCTACTGTTGATGCTGGCTGGATATCTCAAGGAGGCTTCGCCTCGCAGGGAGCTGAGCTGGGGCAGTTTCATCGTCAGGAAGTCACCCATCAGCTGGACATGTTTCCACCATGCCTGTCAAGCTCGCTTCATTCAGCGCAGTCATCAACATGAAATAGAGAAGGCAGTGCATTGATTGCAGACCCGAGACGATATTTGACTCTCCGGCTTCCGGCCCCCCATTGTGGCTGAGGCAAACAGCCACCGAGGCGGGCAAACAGGACCTGGCCAGGGGACATGCTGTGAGATTGCCAGGCACCCACCGTCCAACCTACGGCAGCGCCGGCACCATCACCATCACCATTGGCACCATCACCATTGGCACCAGCACCAGTAGCACCGGCACCGTCACCGGCATTGTGGCTGAGGCCAACAGCCACCGAGGCGGGCAAACAGGACCTGGCCAGGGGACATGCTGTGAGATTGCCAGGCACCTACCGTCCAACCTACGGCAGCGCCGGCACCATCACCATCACCATTGGCACCATCACCATTGGCACCAGCACCAGTAGCACCGGCACCGTCACCGCCATTTTGGCTGAGGCCAACAGCCACCGAGGCGGGCAAACAGGACCTGGCCAGGGGACATGCTGTGAGATTGCCAGGCACCCACCGTCCAACCTGCGGCAGCGCTGGCACCATCACCATCAGCATTGGCACCATCACCATTGGCACCATCACCATTGGCACCATCACCATTGGCACCAGCACCAGTGGCACCGGCATCGTCACCGGCACCTGGCACATGCAAAGTGAATTGATCATTTAAGTGAAAGTTGGTTTGTGCACTAATCAAGCTTTGGTAGTTGCTTGACCCCGCGGACACGCGAGGCATTTGGCCTTGGACTGGATGAGCTCAAATCGTTCCCGCGCTGCAAAGTCAAGGGAGCATCGTTGACTATGCCAAGTTTGCCGAAATTCTCTGTACCAACGTCTTTGCCAACGTCTTTGCCCATGCCAACATCTGTTACGCCTCAGCAAACGCGGCGATTGCTGGGGGCCCAGCACAGTGCTTGAGTAGCAAACGAAGACCCACAGATGTGCAGCAGAGCCAGCTTTTCTTGTTTGTCTGCTGTGGATACTGCCGTTTGACTACTGCAACGTTGAATGAGAAGCCTGTTCTCAGGGTGTAACAATGTTTGCTGGTGGGGGCATCAAACATATTGACAGTGGCTCGTGTGACATACTCGTGGTTCCCGTGGCGACGCAGGTTTGGAGCGGCGGAACTGGAAACCTTGGCGACATTTTCGCCGGCCAAGACGGTACAAGAGATACTGGCTTGGAGCTCAGCGCGATGGAACGCTCTCAAGCTTAACTCTTGCTGTAGCTTCTTTTTCTGCGTGGAGTTTCTTGCTGACTTGAAACGCTATGGACCTTGGTTGCCGGAATTTCTCGGCTCGTGAGATCACACACGTAGCTGAGCGCAAGACTTGATCAGCACACCCGCCGTCAGATCTGCGTGCTGATCCTGGTGCTGTTGGCGTTTCTCTGGACGCACAGGCACACAAAACAGTCACGATGTGTTTGACTTCGTTTGTTTGGCGAGAGAACATCTCGAACACCTGTGACCGAACATGACAACCGCATTCTGCAGGAAAGAGGCCTACATCCTTTGTTTCGGGGACGACAGGCTCTATTGATGGTGCTTGACTGCAGAGCAACTGACACACTGCAAGTCGCTGTGCCTCGCGCATCTTACTTGGCAGACTTCATGCCGGGCTGCCGGACGTCTGCTGGTATGGGCTGTTGGATTCTGAGTGAAGGTCCGGTGAGGCTGAAAGGAGTGGCCAGCTTTTTCCATTCCGTTCCGTTCCATTGCATTGCCTTCCAATGCATTGCATTGCATTGTAAAGGCAAGGAGGCAGAGAGGCAGAGAGGCAGAGAGGCAGAGAGACCTCAGAAACAGAGAGACAGAAGAGACAGCAGAGACAGAAGAGACAGAAGAGACAGAAGAGACAGAAGAGACAGAAGAGACAGAGACAGAGAGAGAGAGAGAGAGAGAGAGGCAGAGAGGCTGAGAGGCTGAGAGGCAAAGAGAGGCAGAGAGAGAGAGAGAGGCAGAGAGAGAGAGAGATAGAGGCAGAGACAGAGACAGAGGCAGAGAGAGAGGCAGAGAGAGAGAGAGAGAGGCGGGGAGAGAGAAAGAGAGTTGCAGAGAGAGAGAGAGAGATAGAGGCAGAGACAGAGACAGAGAGAGAGGCAGAGAGAGGGAGAGAGAGGCAGAGAGAGAGAGAGAGAGAGGCAGAGGGAGAGGCAGAGAGAGAGAGAGGCAGAGAGAGAGAGGCAGAGAGAGACAGGTAGAGGCAGAGACAGAGACAGAGAGAGAGGCAGAGAGAGAGATAGAGGCAGAGACAGAGACAGAGAGAAGCAGAGAGAGAGAGAGAGAGAGAGAGAGAGAGAGAGAGGCAGAGAGAGAGAGAGAGAGAGAAAGAGAGGCAGAGAGGCAGAGAGGCAGAGAGGCAGAGAGGCAGAGAGAGAGATAGAGGCAGAGACAGAGGCAGAGAGAAAGAGAGACAGAGAGGGAGGCAGAGAGAGAGAGGCAGAGAGAGAGAGAGAGAGAGAGAGGCAGAGAGAGGGAGAGGGGGTGAGGCAGAGAAAAAGAGAGAGGCGGAGAGAGAGGCAGAGAGAGAGAGAGAGAGGCAGAGAGAGGGAGAGGGGGTGAGGCAGAGAAGAAGAGAGAGGCGGAGAGAGAGCGAGAGAGGCAGAGACAGAAGCAGAGAGAGAGAGAGAGAGGCAAAGAGAAGGGCAGAGAGAGAGAGGCACAAAGAGTGGCAAAGAGAGGTGCAGAGAAGCAGAGAGAGAGGCAGAGAGAGTGGCAGAGAGAGAGAGAGAGAGGCAGAGAGAGAGAGAGGCAGAGACAGAGAGGCAGAGAGACAGAGGCAGAGAGAGAGGCAGAGAGAGAGAGAGAGAGAGGCGGGGAGAGAGAAAGAGAGTTGCAGAGAGAGAGAGAGAGAGAGAGGCAGAGAGAGAGAGAGAGAGAGAAAGAGAGAGAGGCAGAGAGAGAGAGAGAGACAGAAGAGACAGAGAGACAAAGAGACAGACAGAGACGGACAGCTACGGACACAGACAGAGACCGGCAGACAGGAGACCCCAGAGAGAAGAGAAACAGAGACACCGGCACACAGAGACAGAGACAGAGACGGACAGTTCCGCACGTACACGTGCCAATGCTGTGTTTGCCAACGCCCAGGTGCCAATGCTGTGGCCTGTGCAAGTATGAGTGGACGGTTCTGTGCACCAATTGGCAGTCAACCCAGTGCACGTGAAAAATATTGGCTGGCAGCAAAGTACTTGTCAGGCGTGTAACTGGCAGTGTTGATCTGTCTACTGTTTCTATTCATTTCGAGTCTTGCACGCTTGAATAACTGCCTGCAATTCTATTGAGGCCGTGTTGTCCGAGAAGATGGAGAGGTGGCAACGCTATGAGGGTGCGCACTATCCCTCATTTTTGACAGACACTATATACTGCAACAACTCGATTTGCGTTTGTCACACTAGCAATGGCATGCGTTTTGCAGCTTGCAGACACGGGCACGTCACGCGTTCCACGCTTTGCAGCCTGCAAAGCACGCCAGTTAGCGGCACAGAACTTTGGCTTGACGTTGGCAACCCAGCTAGCCCTGAATCTGACATGGTCCATTTTCGTGGGCGTATGTTTTTGCTACGTGGCTCAGGTCGAGGACGATAGAGCTCAGCAATGTCGTTGTCGGAGACCTGCCTGTTACCGGGTATTCACTGTCAAGGCTTGGGTCTGAATTGCTTCACAGCATGTGCTGGCACTCTCCTGGCAGTTTTGGTTCCTTCTACCTCCACATAGAGTGCGGCAAGTATCCGCTGCTAGCTTAGATGTCTAGCAGTACGGCCCTTGAGTATCGTTTGTTGAGCCTTCAATTGACACGTCCAGGGAAATCATCAGCACAGTGCAGGAGGCACATACAACTTGATTAACTCATGGACCGAACCCATCCGAACCCATCCTTGACAGGACAAAGATCCGCGAAAGATTCAATTTCCTGAGGCGCGCGTGAGAATCTAGTTGGTGCTATCTAGTAGCGGCGTGTACGGCTTCCTTTTGCGTTCATGTACGGACAGGTGCTCACGCTTCGTCTCAGGGAGAGCATGTGGGATCATCTTGCCAACCTCTCAGCCAAACAACTGGCTGTGGGTCAAAATGAAACCATCAGGGGACCGCAGCTTTTAGTCCATGTTTCCTCTTACAAGGCTTCCATTTTGCGTACCTATTTTTGACACACAGCCAACTCAGCCGTCTCTCCAGATCCCTCATTGCCCTGACATTGCATTGGGCAATGAGGTAGACATCTCGGTGTACCAAATCCGGTTCGTCGGCGTCGTCCAACTTTGTCAGGTGCCACAAGTTGCTTCGCTCGGCTTTCCATGGCCGCTGACTGCACGCGAGTCACAGACTGCTGATGTGCTGACACCAGTTGATTCGTTTTGACTCACCCTTCAATTGGTAACAAGACAAGCAACATGTATTGCGGTTGCTGGGAGTTCACTTTGAGCAACATGGAATATCCTTTGTTGTTTTGCCCAAAGTGGTTTCGCCCTGCGACCAATCGTCTTTGACATGTTTTAATTATTTACTACCTCATCAAAACATGTTTGATGTTTCCATTCTTGTCGCGTTGTTGCTCTTATCCCCGAGTACTTCTGCCAATGGACTAGGAGGGGCAGCTTGGCAGTTGCAAATCTCAAAGCTAGGCCTGATTGCCAAATTTTAGATTGTGTAGCTGTTCCTCCGTGGCGCATCGCCGGCGCGGGTTTTCACCGCTTCTGCCAGGTCAGCCTGGATCCACGACGCGTCTGCGATTGGGCACATCAGGTTGGCTTCAGCGCTCTCGTTGTCGAAAACGGCTGACCTTTCGAAGGAGGGCGAGAGCTGCACCAAGCGCTTTGCGATGAAAATTATCGAGGGTACCAGCCAGGCCGGTTGAAACTCGTTTCAACCGCCGGGTTTAGCAATCCCTCCAGGTTGAGACCCCTCCTTGGTGGCTTGCTCAGAGAGAGATGCATTGATGTATGAATCGGAATGCAAGAGATCCATTGCCGATGGCAAAGTATGACTTGGAATGTAGCTGACTTTGCTTTGTACAGTCTACTTGCGGAAGCTGCTGGATCACTGACTCATTTCCTTCGACGGCGTATTTTTCACAGTGGCTTCTTTTCTCCACTGGAAATCGGACATTTTGCTCCGCAAGCAGCACGCCTTGTGACAATCTAATTCGAGCAACAAGGCTTTGCAAGCATGGAATGACATGGGAAGCATTATCGACTTGCTAGCTCTGATTTGACAGTTAGTTTGATGAATGTACATTGCTGATGATCATGTGAGTTCTTTTTGTAGAGTGACAGCCTTGTTTGGATTGCTCTTAGCTTTGGGCTGGATTTCAGACTGCTCCCACTGATGCCCTTTGCACTGCATACAGCATCTTGAAGCTCAACTTTGAGCCAATCGAAGGAAGAGACCCCCCTCGGGGATAGACGCGCATCCTTCTGGATGATGACCTGAGGATCAGCATCACCTTCGGGACCCACGAAAGCGATCTGAGACGTTTGGATCAGTTCCACCCAAATCAAACGATGTCAGCCACTGCCTCAGCTTCACGTTTTCTGTCATTCCTGCTGACAGATGGCAAGGTTCGACTGGCCAAGTGGGGTATGGCTGGCATGCTCACACCATACAGACGCATTCATGGGGATTTTCTTTTCAGATGGGTTGATCAAATGCTCTCCTTTCACAACCCCTGCCAGATTCATTTGATCCGGTGACCCATCAGCAATTTGAAGAGCAGCCCTTGGCTGACCTGCCCTGTTTGATGTTGCTCTGCTGGGAGATGTGATGCGTGGCATTTCTTTGACTCGGAGAGCCAGGTTGCGATAAAGGACAAGTTTCCACTTATAGATGGCGGTGGCAATATCGTGCAGGCTCGACCATCTCGAGTGAACATGCCACCAATTCTGAGCTATCAAGGCTGGTGATGGTCTTCTGCTCTTGGGTTGAAACACCACAGCATGGATGTGTATTTTGTACGCACGCGAAACATGACTATTAACCAGATTTGGTGCGATAAAATGTGTGTGTGCCACAGAGAGAAAGCTCAAGAATCGCTAATGGGTACACATCGCTAAAGCTGTTGAAGACTTGTGCACTGCGCTCATGTGACTTCAGGAGCCACCGGAAGAGGATCTCGCTTTTTTGGAGTGTGCAAGGCGCGATGAATCCAGCCGCACTCGACATTTTTAGACCGACCATCACCATGATTTTTGTTTTCTTCTTTTTGTACCTCTTTTTTTCTTTGTTTCTCCGGTAAAGTGATGACATAGGGTACACTCAGCAAACTACCATCAGGAAGTTCGGTGTTTCACCCATAAACCATTGTCAATCGAGAGCATATTCACTGTGGATCAGAGGCTTGCACATGTTTGCAATTGTTGTCGCTTTGGCCTTGAGCTCATCGCTAGGAGATGGCTTGGCTACCTCTACTCATTGCTTGGCCTTTTCCTTGTCACTTTTAGGCCCTTAGTCAACAATCAGTTTCGGCCTTTTGAGGTTCTGTGGTCCTCTTGGCCGTTACCTCGTACGGTGTCATGAGATACTATGCCCGCTCCTTGTGCGTTCTTGGGTATTCGGTCACACCGGAATTCGCAGCTCGAAATGAAGGTCAAGAACTGCTACGACAAGTTTGAGGCTCTGACAATAGCAAAGTCGCCCTGAACTGAGCTTCACAAGTCCTCACAGCTGGTGTGTTCTACGGCAAGTTCCACTTTCGATAGTTGGTGATACCTTTGCCGCAATCTGTGACCGGGGTTGATGAACATGCAGACAGCCCTGGCCACGGCCGAAAGTGGTGGGAATTGGAATGCCCACTGCAGATGCGTGCAGGAAGCTTGCGTTGTGTGTCTCGAAGCTTGAGGTGGGTCCCACATAGCTTTCCCATGCCCTCGTGCGCCCGAGCCTTGGGCAAGAACCCGCGTGGTGCCCGGGGCTTCCTTCCTGAGGCGCTTGCATCCATTGAGGACGTTTGCCACGCGCCCGGCTTAGCGTATTTGGCAGGGTGGTTTCCAGTTGGGTCACAATCAAAACCCGGGGATTGGTGAAGGTTAGAGACAATCCCAACGACAAATTGCTGCGGATATCCGCCTTCTTAAATTCTTGAAGCATGGTTCTGGGTCGACCATTTTCATAGGTTTCGGTTACGCAATTGGACTCAGGCTGAAGGGTTTTGACTCAGTTGGACACATGCGGCACGCTTCTGGAGGCCAGCCTCGCAGGAACCGGAGTGAGTGAAGGAGAGCACGTGTGCAGGCGCGCGTATCCAAAAACCCCGAAGCCGCGAGACGTCGAGCCATGTGTTTGGCTGATGTTCACCTTGTGTGCAGCACACTCACAACCTGGCTGATTGTCTTTTGGGAATTCCTTGCAGTCCAGGCCCACCGATTCCATGGTAGAGGAGACCTGTGGGGAGCTGAGGATGCTTTTGGAGTTGGTTTGAAAGCACAAAGTGCCATTCACCCAACAGGAAAAGGTGGCGGGGGGATGCTCACCAAATTCCCTTGCCAGGGAATGAATGTTGACTGCTCCTTTCGCCAAATTTTTGGCTCAAACTTCGATTCGGAATCCGAATCGCTCAGGCGGAGCTCCTCCACAGACCCGTCCAAAAGCGCTGTCCTTCGTGTTTGAAGGCCAGAAAAGCTGACCGCCTTGCGGATGAAGTTCACATCCCCGGGGTATCAATCTTGGGTTGCTTATCGTTTTTGCATGATGGTTATCGGTTGTTGATTGTCCCCTTCGGCTTGGCAATGGTTTTGGATGGCCCCTATCTGTTTTTCAGGTTGATGGGTATTGACTTTGGATGGTTCCCTGTCTTTGCAAGCTGATGAATTCATCAGCTTTGCTTGCTGGCACATCCGTTTTGCAGGTTGCTGGGTATCGGTTTCGCAGGTTGACGGGTATCTTGCAAACTTGCAATGTCTCTTCCCCCTCATGCAAAGTTGTGTTTTCCCAGTGTTTTTAGCTTTGCCACTGTGCATTGGGCTAGCTATTCATAGAGAGGACACACACACACACACACACATAGAACAACTTTAGTTGTCCAACACAAGTCAAAGAACAACATAAACACAGACCCTAACTCAGCCAACATGGATCTCGAGTTTTTCTTTGCATACTTGGGAATGTGTGGAAATCATGGAGTCATCCAACAAAACGAAACAGACCCTAAGTCAGCCAACATTGATACAAAGGCTGTGTTGATTTGGCAAGAATCTCGAGGGTTTTGCATGTTATAAAAAAGTGTGAAACACCTTGAGTTCTCAAACAACCAAAAGCCTTAATTTCAGACACGAAGTCATCCAGCATTGATATCTTGGTGGCTCCCAGCCATCCCCTTAGCTTTTCAGCTTTTTCGTGTTTAGCGGGAATGTCCAGTTAACTCACGAAAAGTTCAACTTTGAGCGAGGGACCTGAGGGCAGCCCAGATGTAGGGTGTGTTTATGTGTTTTGGAAGCTCGAGTTTTTCCCCCAGAAGCTGAAAGCTGGTTCTAACGTCAAGTAAAGAAGGGGTGGGTGTTGGGAATGGCGGCCGGGTGCTGTTGCAGGGTGCTGGCGCAGGCTGTGACTCAGAGTTGCGCAGGGTGCTGTTGAAGAGTGCTCCTGCAGGCTGTGAATCAGAGTTGTGCAAGGCTGTTACTGCCGCAGGCCGTGATTCAGCCGTCTTTCAGATGTAAAAAGCTCAGAGGACTGTCCCGAGTATCGGGGCTTTACTCATGAGCTTGCAGGAGCCCTTGTCAGGAGGTCACTCGCTGAAGGGATTTCGTGGCAGGCGCAGTCCCTTAGATTGGCTGGCGCAGAGCTGTCAGCTGGAGCTGGGTGATAGGGTCTGTTTCGTGCCGCGCTGTCCGCGCGCTGAACCTGGATTTCGCGGCAGGCGCAGCCATCTAGACTGGTTGGCACGGAGCGGCCGGCTGGGCCAGTGCTTGAAAACTTTGGACTGGCTGGACGCTGCAGATTGCTGTTGCGGATTGCTGCTGCAGGATGAGTGGCAGGGTGCGAAAAATGGCGTTAGCGGCATGCTGCTGCTTTGCTACCGGAAATTTCTCTAGTGTATTTTAGCAGTAGAATTGCCTGATTCTCGTTCGTCCTGCTGGTTCTGCTGAAAGTGTAGCATTATTTCTTCAGGGACAGGCTTTGGCAATGCGTGTAGCGGCGTGGTTGCCGGAAAATACGGCTGAGTAATTCTGTGGCGCAACTGTCTGATGCGAATGAACACTGTCCACGAGAAAATGTGGGTTGTACGTTTGGATGGAGAATGCTGCTGATTGCGGGAAATGCTGTTGTGCACTCTGGCGGTGCAATTTGCTGATGCTCAGTCGTCCCTGCTTGTTCTGCGTAAAATGTGTTGTTTTTCGTGTAGCTGCTGTTTTGTTGCCGAAACAGCGTGCTTGCCGAACTTGTTTTGCGTAGACTAGAGCGATATGCTTTTGCAGGGACTGGCTCTTGGTATGCTGTGTAGCTGCTGCTTGGTTGCCAAAGACTCTGTTGTGTAGTCTTGGCGGTAGAATTGTCTGATGCTCATTCATGCCTGCTTGGTCTGCTAGGTTTGTAGATAGAAAGCTTTTGCGGATTCTCCGGCTTTGTCGCCTGAAAATACTGCTGTGTGTTTTCCCCGAAAGCATTGCGAAGGGTTCTTCCGGTAAAACCGCCCGCGTTATCACGCAGCCAAACTTGCCCAGGCACACGCGTGCGAGCCAATTTGCACGAACCAACTTGCGCGAGCCAACTCGCACGAGCCAACTTGCACGAGAACAACTTGCGCAAGCCAGCTTGCGCGGGCCAACCTGCATGAGCCGAAGCTTGTGCGAGAACAACTTGCACGAGATATCACACAGCCACACTTGCGCGAGACATGTGGGCGCAAAAGTCATGAGTTAGTCGCTTTAGGCGGCGCGGCGGGTTCGACCCTCCGTGCGGGTTGGCGTGGTCGATGTGCAAAAAGTGAGGACTCTTTGCGATTTCTCATCTGCGCGCGAGACACTCTGCGTGGATTGGCGTTGTCGATGTACAAAACCTGAGGGCTGTTTACGATTTCTGATCTGCGCGCGCTCTGCATGGATTGGCGTGGTCGATGTGCAAAAACTGAGGACATTTTATGATTTCTGCGGTTCGCGCGCGACCCTCTGCGTGGATTGGCGTGGTCGATGTGCAAAAACTGAGGACTTATGACGGTTTCTGACTTGCCCGCCCAGCCCTCTGCGAGGATTGGCGTGGTCGATCAGCCTGAAGCTCTCCAAGAACAAGTTCTTCACGAATTTCTTATGGCCGTCGCCCAGAGTCATCCCTCGGCCATGGAGACGCACGCCCGGTTCCCAACAGCCAGATCTGACTTTGGTTTCGCGAGCGCTGCCGCGCGTTCGAGCGATCATCGGCCGGGTGATGAAGGTGGACATCCTGCCCGCATCAAAGCCAAAGGATCGACGTTTTTCTGAAGGATGAGTCGGACAAGGAGCTCTTGGTGGAACTGGGGTGACCGGTTTGCAACCAGCGCCAAAGCCTTGAATGTCGGGGATGTCGTGCAGGTCGACATGCGCGCTGGTGAAGAAGACCGAGGAGAACATCTACGGGACTGCGCAGCGCTTCCAGGACAGCGACAAGAACTTGTTCTCCCACCTACGCGTCAATCCTCCCGGCGAGAAGTCAGACCGCATGCCAGCCCTTGGCGTTGAGCGAGGCGACGCCCTGTACTCCGTGGTCGGGGTCCCACACTTTGCGCTGGACCAGCGATCTGCCGCCGTGTGCGGCCACAGCTGCAGCTGCGGTCTTGCCATCGAGTCAGGAGCCGACTTGGATGCTTGGACGAAGGTGGAGGTGGTCTTGCACGGGTGGCGTGCAAGAACGGCAGCGCCAAGATCAATCCCGACAGGCAGTTGTGCAAGAAGTCTTCTAGTGGCTGCCTCTCGGAGCCTGCCGACAAGAACGGTTGTGGCCAACTTGACCTTGGCGGACCTCACTGGCCAGCTGGAGCTTGTGCTTGTCGATGGCGACGTCTTGCTGCGGCTTTCTGGCTTGAAAGACAAGCCGACGATGGTGCGCGTCGTTCAGGAGGAAGGGCCTTAGCGGCCGTGTTTTCGTGGCCCGCATGATGTTCGCCTGGCAACCGCGTCTCACCTGACCCGGCAGGCGCGCAGGACAGGGCGCTGCGCCGGCGACCCGGTGCCCAAACTCCAGCAGCCACGCAGCCAGGAGATGCGGAAGCCAACTGCCAGCTTCAGGGTGTGGTGGCAAAGGCCTGCTTTGCTCACGCCGACGCAGAAGAGAGGCCCCTGGTTCAGAAGATCTTGCGCCTCCACAACCAAAGACCTGAGAGGGCTCCGTCTTGCCCACCGAAGATCCCACGAGAGACTTGAAGATCTCCAACCTCGGAGTTCTCTTCTCCAAGTCGCAGGTCTTCGTGGAACACGTGCGCGTGCTGGCCTGCGCGGAGGGCGAGCCGCACGTAGAAGAAGTTGGCGAAGGCGACCGCGAGCAGTTGCTCATGAGACACCAGGCAGGGCATGCTGCCCTGCCGGCGGACGAATCCGGCAGTGCTTTTGTTGTGGTCTGTGTAGCTTCAAGCAGTACCGACCAAGTCACTGTGATTTGCTGAGCGCGTCGCGGAGGCCGCCTCAGCTTCTCCAGGCAAGACCTTCCTTGCAGCCGTGGAGAGGCCAAAGCTACGCCCCGTGGGCGCTGAAGATGCTGGAGGGAGCCGGCGGCGTTTTCCTGCTCACAGCCACGCAAGTTAGAAGCGTGATGTTTTCTGCTCGCAGTCGCGCGCGCTGACGTTGTCTGCGCGGAGCCGCGCGGCGAGCTATAGAAATCTGCAGCCGCCACTTGCGCATGAAAAAAGGAAGCAGACACACATGCATGAAACCAACGCTCACTTTCCATTATGCTTTCGGGGTTGCCTGATGCTCATTCGTCCCTGCTAACGCCAGTAAGCTTTGAGCAGGAACTGGGGGGTACTTTTGAGAAGGGGTGTGTTGGAGTCGAACAATATCTTGGATTGGCAGTGGCGCTACATGTCCGAAATCAAGAGAAACCACAGCCAAAAGTACTTTCATTTCACGCTTGTATGTCGGTATAGTTTTGTTGGACTTACCGAGCTTCATTTTCCATTTTTGCATTTGTTGGGGGAAAGCGTGTCAGACTATGTACTCAGTCAAATGGGAGGGGGCGTTCTCTTTTGCATTTTGTTTCGTCTTGTTTTCCGGTTTTATTTCAAACAACGCAGCTGGAAACGCGTGGCAAAGTGCATGGTTTGCAGCAAATGCTCGGCATAACGCAGCTAGACGTCGCAAAGACAAGTCGGACAGCTGACAAGTGACAGGACAGTTTGATTGTAGTTTAGAACTAGTTTAGAGCCATGTGGTAGGTTTGTTTTGGAAGTAAATTGGAACTTTCTGGAAATCATGTCAAACTTTACAGGCCTGCGCCCGGCATACACATTATGCAAAAAATGGCTTGAAACATGTTAGGCACGTGCTGAGACGTCTCGCACATTGCGAGACATATGGTAAACACACGCTACAGGTACGTGTGCATCTGCTTTGAAACATGCCCCATGTGCTCAATGTATGCTAGGCTCAGTATACATATGCTAGGCACATTTTACAACGCTGGCAATGAGCTGAACATATACTGTGAAAAAAACTGACCCTGGTAGACTCGGACAGAATAGTTAGATATGCAGTAGACATGCTAGAGACATGCTAGAGGCATGCTAGAGCAATGTTAGGAAAACACGTGACGGGCTTATCTACTGTAAATAAGCTGCAACTATAGTGTCCAAGCTAGCAATGCAGTGAACAGGCTAGGTGAGCTTTGCGTAGCACAATATGCCCGGGCATTCCTCAAACACATGCTGGAACAACAATTGCTAAATAGAGGATGCATACGCAAGGCAGTTGCTGCCGTGTCCACCGAAGATGCAACAGAAGATGAAACTACAGTAGCATGTGCTTATATTTTGAGGTTCATGCGGGGATGCTCTCTTCTTCCCAGGATCCCTTTGCTTGCAACTGGATGTTTCAAGACTCGGTTGACATGTTATGACATGTGGGACATGTGCCAAGACCTTGGCTTCGGCGTCAATGAGGGCTTCAAGCCGCAGACTCAATGCTGTCAGCTTGCGAGCCGTTCCTGCTTGCCGTTCCTGCCGCAACTTGCAATTTTCAGGTGCTTTGACGGCATTTGCAGATTTCGCAACCACATCCGGCACTACGACTCCATGGCGCTTTGGGGGTGCAACAGCCAGATTTTGTCAGCAAGGTTGGCAGCTTTGCGCCAACATTCTGCCAGGGGACTTGGGGCGGTCTTCTTTGTCTTTTGCCTGTTCAGGCCGTTGCATGGTTTACTCACAAACTAACATGGAACCTGACACGGGGTCTCTTTAACCAAACCCCCCCGAACGCAGGTTCCATGTCAATGGTGGGAGGGTAGTTGATGTCGTGTGCACTTGCAGCATGTCCGATCAGAGCAGTGGATTTAGAGAAATTCCCGCCGGTTGCAGGCCCATGGCCAACAGCTGCCTGCAACAGCTGCAGGAAAGAAAACAGGATGCGCACAACCGCTTGCGGCCCAGGAAGCTGGCTTTTGCGCGCGAGAGAGACTGGCTTGAAATATATTTCCTGTCGGTATAAGCAGATGTTATGGCACGGTGTATGTGTTTCTGAAGGCTTGGTCGAAGCCGAGTATCCACAATCTTAGGCAGAGTCAGAAGTCGACGGGGCGAAGATGTGTGAGGATATGTAATTCTGCTTGTGTTTAGATGTGTAGCACCAGGCTTGGTTGACACTCAAAGGAGTGCGAGTTTGATTGATGTACATTACGTAGGAGGGAGCCGCAAGGCTTGGCACGGCTGCGGCAATGCTGCTGGGATCATGCAGGATGAATGCGCATTCATACAGTTGCTAGTGCAAAATAAGATGGGTGGCGGCCCCAGGAAAGTGTGTTGCAATGGCGAAAGACGAACTTTCACGCTCCTCGCAGCGTAGCCATGCTTGCTTAGAGTATTCTGAACATTGGCATCTTTCTCTTGGTCATTGATGTTTGAACTTGACTTTCGACTTTTCTGGCACAGCTCAGCTAAGCGGCTGGTTTCACACTTCGGATCAGCAAGGTATGGCGAAGACGAAGAATTCACGTGCCCAAAGATTTGCCTGCACACCTTCGATGCCGTTTTGTGCCATTTTGCACCGTATTGTGTCAGCGTGTACCCAGAGGCTCTGGCCAGCAGTCGGGAATATCATGTCCAAGGTGCATTGCGCCAAGGTGACCCTCAGCCAACCCTAAAAGCTACCCCTAAACCAACTCTGAACCAACCCAACACCCACCCTAAACAGCGAACCCGAGACCAGCGCCCAATGAACCTCGATTCCACACAGAACAAACTCCAAACCCAGCCTTGCCTACCTCCAAACCCCGGGCCCTAAACCCTAAACAAGCTAAGACAGCTCCTCCCATCCTCAGACCTGAAGGATTTGAGCCTCTCACCAGTTTGAGCCCCTAAGCGAAGACAGCCCTGCCCCAACGAGCTACCTTCTCTTTCGACTGTGTCGAACTTGATGAATGGCGAATGGCTCCGTCGATCAAAGAGCAGCGAGAGCAGCTGCAGCGGGCCATCGCTGTGTGCTTGGAGCAAACTCGGCGGGTGCAGCAGGACATCGCTGCTGCTGCTGCTGAGGACTTGGGTGAGGCTTGAGGCAGTGAATTGACTCAATATGCCAAGCATCCCAGGAAGAGCTCGCGCAGCGACAGCTGGACAGAGCCAAGGAGGAGCCGGACAGTGCCGGACAGCGCCGGGGCGTCCTCGTGGGTTCCGCGGTTTGGGGCGGCTTGTCCAGGACTTCCAGGGGAGGATTTGCCGCATAGCAGCGCCCTCCAGCTGCGAGAGCCAGGACGGGAGAAGCTGTCGAGGTTCCATGTGGCTGGTGCCAATTGATGTCTGCCGTGCTGGCCAGCTTGACATAGGCAGGAAGGCACCCAGAAGCTCAGAAGGCAGCCCTTGAATGCCTCCCCCAACCCTCCCCTAATGTCGTGCGATGATTTCAACTTTTCCAGAGCGCTTTCAATATCACGTTGCGTATCTTTGGTTGGTGCTTGGCAATTGATGTGCAAGCTCTGCGAGCTCCAGGCACTGGAGGATGAGTTGCATGGACTTCGCTGCCGCACTGAAGAGCTCGAGCGCCGCCTCTCCTTTGGCCTCTTTCGGCGCTGGAGGAGGCAGACTCCCGAAAGCCTTCGGCAGGGGGTTTGTGGGTTTGTCTGCCTCGTTGGGGCAAAACCTGCGGAAATTCTGGCCAGGCGCCTAGATCAGGAGCTGTATGCTGGTGGATGCGCCGCGCGCTTGGCCACACTGCTGAGGCTCAGCCGAGGTATTGAGTGAGACATTGCGCCAGGTGGAGCGGACAAACGACGTGGGCAGGCTCAGCAAGGATCAGGCCCGCACAGAGCTGAGCGTCGGATTCCGTTGGCTTGCTGCCAAGCAGCTCCAGCAGCTCCAGAAGCAGCAGTTCATTGGTTTTCGGCTTGCGATTATCACGCAATGTGTGCAAGCCCTGAATTCATCCGATGAGTCTCATTTGGGCTTCTATCAGAAAAATCATCCTGGATCTAGGGAGTCTTCAGAATGAACCTTTTTTTTGTGCCATGGTTCCCCAGATAGCTGAAAGCTATAGGGGTTCTAACTTCTAAGAAAGAGGGGAAAGTGATTTGCGTGCAGTTTGGGGTGCTGGTGTAGGTGCTAATTGGGGTGCTGCTTGAGGTGCTGCTGGCAGTGCGGGCGCATCTTTTACAGATTTACGGTAGGCTGCTAGGGGGCATGCAGTTTGGGGTGCTGGTGCAGGTGCTGTTGTGGGGGTTGACGGTGCGCGAGCATTTTTGCATCTTCACGGTACCGTCACCCTGAAGAGCATCCCAAACAACACCCCCCCAAGCACCCAGCCGTCAGTCTGGCGAAAATGAAACAGCAACCCAAACAGCATCCCAAAACATCACCTGCACCAGCACCCCAAGCTGCATGCCCCCTTGCAGCCTACCGTCAAGATGCAAATTGCGCCTGTGCCGTTACCTGCATGCCCGATACAACCCGGGCGTCAATATCGCAAAAATGCGCACCCGCGCCGTCACTAGCACCTCAAACAGCTCCCCAAACCGCATCCCAACACACCACCAGCACCAGCATGCCCGCTTGCACCCTGTGGGCGCATTTTTGCGAGATTGACGGCAGGGTGCAAGGGGGCATGCAGTTTGGGGTGCTGGTGCAGGTGATGTTTTGGGATGCTGTTTGGTGTGTGGTTGGAGGTGCTAGTGACGTTGCAGGCGCATTTTTCCTCGATTCACGGCAGAGATGGGGGCTCTTTGTTGGGGGGGGGGGGTGTCGGAGGTGTTGGAGGTGCTGGAGGTGCAATCATTGCTATTTGGGGTCTATGGTGTAATTTTTCCCATGATCCCATGACCCCCTGATCCCGGTATAATTTTTCTCCAAGAGTTTCGCTCCCACGAGTTTCGAAGCCCTGCCCTGGCCGAGGGCTTCGCGGCAGCGGAGGACCTGGCGCGGCGGAAGGGCCTGGCGCGGCAGCTGAAAGGGCAGCGGGAGCAGCTGGCGCTGAAACTCACCGAGGCCGAAGTCCGGAGTGGGTCCCAGCGAACTCGGAGGATTTTTCGGAGAAAAGGAGAGTTTCAGGCACTTTTTTTTTTGAGAAGCACGCAAGTGGGTTCCCGGGTTGGTTTCGGGGGCAGGGGGGGGTCACCCCACCCCCCCGGAAAGTTCCCCCACCCCCCCCGCCCCAAGCCTGGTTTGCAAAGCTCGGTTTCATCCCCCTGGTTGATGTTGATGGAGGGGGGTCGACATTAGCTTGGCTCAGTTTCTGACATGGGCCGAATCCGAAATGGCTCTTCGGTTTCCGGTTGTTTTGCCTTCAACACGAAGCAAAAGGAAGTTCCCCCCAAAAGACCAGAGAGATTCTGCTTCTGACCGTCTCCTTCCCTCTCTGTTTGAGCTGCCGCCTAGGCGCAGCGAGGGCTTTTGCGGTTGAGGAGTGAGGCTCGTGCGATGCAGCAGGAGACAAACGTCAAGGGCTTACTTGAAGGTGAAGCCTGCGATGGGCAGGTCACCCGATGTTTCACCGAAGCTCAGGACTTGTGCTGCCAGCTTGCAGAAGAGAGAAGGCTGGCAATTGTTGAGTTGTGCTCAATACCTTTCGGTTCTGCCCTGCAGCTGCGCGTTGAGATTGTTTCCATTGCGAAGGAAGACGAACGAGTGGTGGGATTGGCACATGACGAGGCCAAGCAGATTGCATGTCCATTTCTCTCCGTTGGACGCCCAGACTGCCACAGTACCATGACGATCTGCAGAAGCTCCGACAAGTGGAGGCCTGCGACTGCCGCATGGCCATCTTGAAGTGTGAAAAGAAAGCATAGGCACACTTCAATACAGTGCAGCGCCAGACGCAGGACCCAGCGCGGGAGATAAGACTTTAGACAAGTCCTTTCTTGAGCACGAAGAAACTCAATCTACTTTGCCTTTAGGAATGCCAGCAGCAGCTGCAAAGTATTTGCAGTGAGGAGGACCCACACATGCCAAGTAGCTTTCATCTGCAAGGCCACATGTGTTGGCTTGTGCAAGCCATGTGCCTTGACTGCGCAGGAAGCGGCTCAACACGACTTGCTGAAATCCAGGTCGCGTTTGACATTTCATTCTTGCGCACTGCAAAAGAAGCCGAGGGAAGAATTCCAAGCAAGCGAGATGCAGGTGGAGCAGGTCTTTGGTCTCCTTCAGGAGCCTGTCCCAATCAGACAAGCAGCGCCCAAAACAGACCCCCCACTCCACCCCAGCCATTTGGATAGGCGGCTCTACTACGTGGTTCTACGTCACAGGCTATATAAATAAACTTTTCTAGCATGTTGGCAGAACCAAAGGCAAAGGGTTTTGGGTGCTGCTCGAATCTTTGCCGGCGAGAGGAGCACGAAGCACAAAAGGCGCATTTGTACAAACAGTCGCTGCTGGATCCATTCAAGGCGTGACCAGCATGCCATTGAAATTCTTAGCACATCACGTTATGGCTGATGCGATACAGGTGGACCGCATCCGGCGGGCACAGCACTCTGCCGAGCGACTTCAGGAGGCCAGCGTTTCCGGGAAGCCGAACGCTGGCCCATGGGCCAATCATGCTGAAGGATGTCTTGTTCCCCGTATTTCAAGTTGCTTGCAGATCTCTGGTTGATAGCTTCGATGACTTCCGGAAATTGATGACTGCAGAGGCGCAAGACTTGAGAAGGTCGCTTGAAGTGGCAAGCGAAGAGGCCTGACAGGTAGCCCTTTGGTTTGGAATGGTCCAAAGGCCTGAAGCCCGGCTCCTTTTGACACCAAGTGGGGAAAGCACCAGACATGTCCAAACCAACCCAAATATTGGCTGGGCGTAGGATGTCGCCTGACTTGGCTGGAGTGACTTTGTCAGGCCCGCAAGACTGAAGCACAAGCCCAGGTTGCGAGGAAAGCAGTGAATGCGAGGCCAGGCAGACTTGCGGAAAGGATTGGGCTCCCAACATCCGAAGGGGTCACGGTGGGTGTGGTTTCCTCCTTCAGGTTGGTCAAAGCTTCAGAGGAGCTGCGAGATGCAGAGAGGCCCTGGCCAGGGACAACACCAATACCCTGAGCTGATGGCTCAGGCACCTGCAGTTCCTCACGGACCTGCGCGCGCAAGAGTTCGGACTTCTCGGCCAGGTACTTGGCATATGGCATCCCCATGAATCCTCTAGACGTTTTGGGTGTGTGAACCTGAGGAGAAGTTGAGCACACCAAACGCCATCTCTTAGATGCCCATCGCAAGGCTGGGGCGGCCAGTCTCACTTTGTTCGCATGGCATGGCATGGCACGGGGTTTTTCGGTGACAGGGCCTTGTGGAGCACGAGAGGCGCGGTCTGTCGTGGTCTGGGCCGCGGATTTTTCGGGATCAGATCTGCTCTGCGAGGCTGAAGTGTCAGGCAACTGGCCGCGGCCTCGGGGTGCAACCTAACAGCCCAAGTGGGGTTCAAGCAAAACAGGCAAGTTCTCTCAAAATCAAGCAAAACCACCCTATTCACAAAGGACTGTAGGTGTTCATTGCTACCATTCTGGCTGAAGATTTGATCCCTGATCTTGAGCAATCTGAACTGGATCTCTTCTCTCTCTGTTCGAATGGCTTAATCCGCGAGGTCAGGTTGTGGGCTCAGGTTGCCCTGTTCGGGCCAAGTAAATCACGTGGCCAAACAGGGGCAATCCCAGCACCATGAAATCCGCACGGAAGGCGAGCCAGGCGAGCCGACTCTGCCAAAGTCGCAGAGGCGCGGCATGAACATTTTCGCGCCCAGGCCGAACTCAAGACATGTCCGAAATCCAATCTGCGCGTGTCCCTCTCTGATTGCCCCTCTCTTTCTGTGGGAGCCCGGGCCCTGATGGTTTTGAAGAGCCAAATGCAAGCCGAAGCAGAGCCCATGGGGCCCGAGTCAGACAGGAGCAATCAATCGGCCCTCGGTCGCTGGCGGCTCAGCGATCGGTCGTCCGCTCCAGAGGATGTGTATATATATATATATACATATATATATATATATATATATATCGTGCCCAAATCATGCTTCTGCTCAGTTGCCTGCCAAGGACAGCATTCGCAGCAGCTAATGACATCTGAGCTCAGCGTGCAACAAAGATTTGCACCCAGACGACCCCTGTAAGAAAAAGGGGCGACGGCCGATCTTTCCTGCTGAGCGGTTTGGTAGGGCAATCGCGAGAGGCCAGATCGGCATTTCGTTGTGCGCGCTTCCTGTGGCTCGTCTGAGGCTGGGACTCGGTTGCCCACACAGATCTTTAAAGCCAGGGGAAGATTCGACAAGCCGAGAGTTGAAAATATAGCCCTCTCAATTTTCAAAAATGCAGCAATGTATGCTGGTTGCCGGTGAAAGCAACGCATCATAGCTCCGATGGCCTTGGCTGCAAATCAGCAGCTTGCCGTTCTGCGTGAACGAGAGCGCCAGTTGGTGCAGGCTTGCATGGTCAAGAGGCGGTTTTCATATGGCTTTCCGGACATGTGGGCAGGAGAAAGAAGAGATACTCGCCAAGATTGCAGATCGGGATGCAGAGATTTCGTGGAAGAAATACGCTGCCGCTTGTCCAAATTCTTTAGCCCGTTATTTTTGTCAGACTTTGGTCAGCTTGTATCGGTTGCACACTCCTCTGGTAGAGTTTGGTGACAGGGATCCGGGGATCTAACATACCACGTGGGCATGTGTCAGAACCAGAGACTCTTCTGGGACCATTCCAGAGAGAAACAAAATGATGAAACCAGGGATTCGGAAGGGCTTTTTGTTCCGACACCAGCCCGGGAAGCAATTGTTTAACGGGGGAATCCCCTGAAATGATGGGTAGACATACATCCGCAAACCGATATCCATCAGAGGGTCCATGTCCAAGAAAAGTCCATGACTACCTCTTGACTCTTGAAGAAGCTATTAGCTATGAAACCGGAAGTTGCTTTCGCGGAACGGACTGGTTTGTCTGATGCCCCCTGTTTCAGGCAACCCTTAATGGCCTTAATGGTTGGTTTGGGGGATTTGAACCCTTGGCTCTTGAAAAGGGTAAATGGGAAAAGGTCCTGGTTCCTTTTAGAGGTTTCCCACGAGTCTAGCTGGGAAGCTGACTGGCCCTGTACGGAGTCCCTCAAAAGACCCAGACCTTTGCCAGACACACTCCAGAGCTGCCACATCCTGGTTCCTTTGCGGGGTTTCCCAGATCTGGGAAGCTGTCAGTTCCTTTCAAGTGGTCCCCCAAAAAGGCTGGTTTCCTTTGGTTTTCCCAAACCAGGACCATTTCAAGAAACCTGCAGTTGGGTGTCTCTTCTTTTGAGGGTACCTTTTTTTGGTTGGTTTTGAAGGGAAACCCGAAGCAAGCCCACCATTTTGGGGTGTTCTACCAAAAGAAGACCCCTGTTGAACTGCCGGGTGCTTCGTCTCCCGCGAGACGAGGCCTCGCAGTTGGAGCGCACGCTGGAGGCGCTGCAGGCGGGCTCCGAAGAGAATCTGCCACGCAGCTGCGCAGAGCTGCGAGGCGGGGTTTCAACCGGCCCAATGACCCCCCCTCTGTTTCCTTGACCTGGTTTGTGTTGACCTGTTGTTTTTGGTTGCGTTTGGATGCTCTTTTTCCCTTCTGATTTGCACGTCCGACTGGGGAAGCACACGCAGAGGTGCTAGCCACACCCTGGCTGCACAACAGTCAGAGGCGTGGCATGACACCGAGTCGACGTCAAAGGCGGCGAGACATTTCGCAGGAGACCGCGGACAGCGAGCTCATGCGACGGCTGGCAGCGGCTCTGGCAGAGCTGCCGAAACAGAGCTCCGTGCGCTTTGACGAGGTGCAGCGTCAGAAAGGATGACATTACTTAGTTCCCGCAAATTGACATGGAATCCGAACATGAGGTCCTTTTCAAGGGAGGTTCCTCGAAAAAGAGCCGCTGTTCAGTGGAAAATCTGAAGGCAATCATGCAATCAGCCCTCAACAGGAAAGCTTTGAGAAGCAGTTTGGCCAAGATGCGGATGACGCTCGGCTTTCCGACTTCCTGAGTTCGCTTTCAGCGGAGCAGCGCCTTGATCGCACCACGACACGCATGCGTTTGGATACAAAAGTTGCGGGAGATCCAGGATCCAGCCCTTGCAAGGCGCTTGGTCTGGGAGCTGCAGAACCCGTCGGATGTCAGTCCAAAGCTGGATCGAAGGCCTCGCTGACTTCCTGTGCCTTGGATGTCCATTGGCTCCACCGGCATAGGCTCCTCAACGACTTGATGAAAGCCGGAAAGAAGCCGGAGGCCTGGCCGACATTTCACCTTCGATGGCATTTTTCTTTTTGCCAGGTGGAAGTTCTGAGAGCTGCGGGCAGCCCAAGCGATGTGGAAAGGCAATACAGAGCGCTACTGTGGCTCCACCACCATGCCGACTTGCTGCTCAGCTGCACCCAGCACGCGAATCTTTTGGTTCTGTCCTGTTGCATGCGTGGCTGGAGAGCAGATCAGTTTTGAAGGACTGCCACTTGGGCTTGAATACATTTTGTGTGAATCGCCACTTGTAGCTTCGGTTGGGGACTAAGGAATGCTTGCCATGCAGAGCCAGGCAGTGGGGGGATTTGCGCATGCAGACACAATGCATGCAGTTGCTCTCCGCCCGTATTTCGAGACGCAAGCCGGAGAGCATGCATGCTTTGATCCAGGGGCCGGCGGGCAGTCTTTGCTCACTTTGGCCTGCCGCAACTTCGCCGAATTCTGACCCTCGGTGTTTCTTGCACCAGAAGGATTGTCGGGCTTGACACAAGCAAATGTTCAATACAGAAGAAGGAAGCTGCGCGCACATGTATGGATATATTGTTTATATGACCAATGGTCAATATTTACAGAGTTTTTTTGGTGGGGGCTGACATTGGATACACAACCAAATCGCCAATAGGGTTACTCACCAGATTGCCATGTCAAAGGGGCACAGACACACTTGAACTCCAGATGGAGAGTGCTAATCTTTCGAGTACAACTGATGAGTTTCGAGTACAACTGATGAGTCTCGAGTACAACTGGATCGGCTGGCAGGTCACTTGGCTTCACTCTAGCTACTTCAACAGAGAGACAAAGAAGCAACAGCGGTTCAGGGGAGGGACCAAAAGGACATTGCTCATCACTGCAGGTACGTGGATTCTGCGTCCAGAATCCATATCAGCACTGATGGAAGCCTCTTCGTTGGGCCGTCACTTCCATGCAGTGGACAGCCCCCCTGCTGCGAAACCGAAAGGGTGGTGACAGGGCATTCTGTCACTCCGCACACACACGCCCCTCTACGAGGGGCGAAGTTTCTCTTTTCTCCTGCCGGAAGATCAAATGCTCACACTCAATTGTCTATCGTTGACCAAAAAATCCTCCACGGCGAGGGGAGCGAGACACCGCCCTGAACCGCTCAGAAGACGGGAACGAAAGATCACCACGTTGAGCATTGCGAGTGTCGCCATAGAGGACTGAAGCGATTTGCGAAGCAGCCGGGCGATCACCTTGAGAAAACGGAGTGGCATAGGTGAACGTCTCCTCAACCGGAACGGCATCTGAGTTTCGAACTCGACCAAGCGCCTGATCATGTGGATCGCGAGTCGTGAAGGACTCAATCCGAGACAAGATGCGCTGGTACCCTTGGTGTTGCCAGTCACGGATGTCCCATGCTTGGACTGACGCATCGGGCTCAGTCACCCGCCTCCATTCACGAAACGAATTTTCAGGGACATCAGGTAAGGCGTCCCCGCGGTGCCATCGTTGAGGATGTCCTGGAGTGTATATCCGCACCCACTCCTGATCATGCCAGACTGAATATTCAAGCCATGGGTGCTGCTTCGAATCATCGATGTCCATGTCGAGGCAAGAGGCAAGAATTGTCGCGGGCTCCGATCCAGCTAGTAGATGAACAAGCACAATGCACAACCATGTTCAACCAACAGTCAAGCAAGAGCATGCAAGCGTAAAGACCACCCTTATTTTGTACGCTGCGCTGCTCATGCGAGTCTAGTCTTCAGTGAGCTCGAAGACGGGACTCATCTTGTCTCGGCCACTGTCGGAAGGATTAACGGGCCGGTAGGGGTCGGAGACCCCAATCGTCTCCAATGATGTGCTTCCACGCGATGCACGTACTGGTTGATGAGGATGGGAAGCTAGACGTGCGCGAGCTGTCAGTTGTTGAGAAATCCCTTCCTGGAGACGAGTCAGTTCTTCAGTAGAGAAATCAGCTGCATCCGAGGACCTGAGAATCGCGTCTAACAGTTCTGGCGACATACCCAATGCCGCAGACTGCGTGGCCACGCTGTGATGATCGGAGGGATACCCTGAATCAAATTCATGACCAGAGTGCGGGGCAGCGATTCTCCGATAGCCTTCTGTGGCCCAGTCTCGTTTGTACCACATAGTGACTTGGGCCTGCTCTCCGACTGAGGTCTGGTTGGGTGCATAGAATTCCCTCCATTCTCTAAAAGTATGCGGAGGAGGTGGATCATCATGTTCTTCTTGCGGCGTCCACGGCCCCGGATGAAAGATTTTGACCCACTGGGCATCTGGTTGTTGAGGGTCCGGGCACCATTCCAGCCACGCCATGACAACACAACCACGGAAAGACAAGTTGATAGGTGTACGGCTGCAGACAGCAACAAGTGCAAGCAAGTCAACAATCATAATGCAAAAGACCACTTTTGTAACACTGTGAGGCGCCAGCATCATAGTCTGACTCTCCAGGGAGGCGAGGACGGGCATCAGCTATCAAGCGAATTAGATGATGCCGAGGAGGAAGTCATTCCAGCACACATGAGGTCCGGTGCACCCGAAGCGAAAACTGGCCTCGCTATGCTAGGATGTGGACGACCCAGGCGTTGATACCCCCTGGTGACCCAGTCCCTGTAATACCAAGTGTAGAAGGTGGCGTAGGATACCGGTTGCTGAACCGTGCCTGTGGTTGTGCCGCCCGTGCTTTCCCTGGGCCAGTACACTTCGAAGTGGTGGACCTTGCGCCATTCCCGATAGGTGGTCGAGTCATCCGGGGCCGGTCCCAGGGTGTCTGGGGCTACTGGATGCCACTGACCCGGAACATAGATTCGAATCCATTCCACACTCGTTCCTGCTCGACCATTGACGATGTCATAGTCAAAATAACGAGGTAGGACCCATCGTGCTGCACCCTGCACTGTACTATTGAACATTTCAACCCAACAAGCTGCTCAAAGTTATCACGGAAAGCGGCGGACACACTGAAACGACATGCACAGCACCAAGCAAGACAACCCAATGTGAGCACACAGACAAAGCAAGCACAACCGCATCTTTGTCCAACATGCTACTCAAGCGTCAATCCGACTCATTCCAAGGATCATGGAATGGCGGCGGTGACGGTTCCCGCCACGCCCCATCCGGTACCGACGAGCCCACCGAGGACTCGACGTCTGCATTGACGAGCGTCGCAAATCCGATGGATTGTACAGGAGGTCCAAGTCGTTGGTAAGCTCGTGTTTGCCAGTCTCGGTACTCCCACACGTGGTAGGACACATAGGAACTGGGCGTGGCTATAGGATCCATTGTGGTTCCACCGGTGCTGTCTTCAGACCAGTGCACTTGGAAGTGATATGATCTGCGCCACTCCCGGTACGTGGAAGCGTACAGTGGATCAGGAACAGGCGCCTCATCGGGAACGGGCCTCCAAATGCCCGGAGAGTAAATTCGAATCCATTCAACTCCTCTATCGATCTGGTACTCGAAATACTGGGGGTTCATAGCAGCAATACGGGCTTGCGCGACTGTTGAACCAATCGAAAGTCTGCGGCAAGGACACACATGCATTGCCAACCGCACATATACGCTGAAGAGTGAGGCAACTTTTCAAACACAAGGTGAAACGCAGCAACGAGGTCGGACATGTCAAACTCCTAGCTTTCACTGTCGTTGATGTCGCGCACACCTGCAATGATAGTGACCTGGCCGTCGACGAGCACAAGGGGAAAGACATTTCCGTCCATGGCGCAGGATGGCGTGACAGTAATGCTTGCACGCCGCCGAGGGGGATTGCGACGGACGGCCAGCACGTTTGGAATAAAACACTGTAAAGGGCCGTCGAGATCGCCGCGGCGCTGAAGCTGATGCTGTCCGAGATCGTTTGGACGAGCGCCCTGGACTGCGTGGTTCTTCATCACGGGAGGGGTCACTGCTGTGGATCGAGCGGCGTGTGCGCTGCGATTTCGAAGAGGTAGGGCAGGATTGTCCGCGAGGGGCTGAGATCGAGGGGCTGCGTACCGAGGGCATAAACTGTGGGTGAAGAATCACCGGTGGTGGTGGTGGTGGTGGAGGAGGAGGTGGAAGAAGCAATGGCAAACTTGGCGGGGGCGGAGGTGACGTAGTTAGCCGAATGGGTCTGTCGAGTAGAGCCCCGGGTCCATGAAATTGTAACCACGTCGGCTGCGCTCCATGGGTCCAGGTAATGTACGTCTGTACAACTTGTTCCGACATGATTTGAGCAACTCTGGCAAGACATCACAGCATGTCAACGACATCTCACAACATGACAAGCAAGATTGAGTCACATGCGAGCAAGCAAATATCATGTGATCAACAACTCGAATCGGACACACCGCCGCTGCTTATCATTTGATCCATCAATGGTCGTTGCTGCATTTGTCGGGCATGTTGCTAGCCGCGAGCTTCAAGTTGTTGATAGACCTTCCATGCCTGCTTGACTTCCTCAATCGGCTTCTGAAGAAACCGCGCAATGGTCTTATAGGTGGGCCTGGAATCTTTATCCTTCTTCCGTCTCACCATTTCATCCAGCTCACCCTGTGTCCATGCCGTGAAAGGTTCACGGTACGCATTGCGAAGTGCAATGGTAAATTCTTGTAGAAGTTCTCGAGGACCATGGACCACCGTCGGCGACGGCCGGAACGACGAGGCACCTGGATGCGGATGTATCGAACCATCAGAATCCGAATCAGGTGTCGTAGGCGTCGTTTGTCCTGGCTCTCGTCCACCGTGTGTCGCGAAAGGAGCAAGAGGACGAGGAGGTGGTAGTCGATCCAACATCGATTCAGGCCGAGCTCCCGGATTGTGGTCACTAGCATCACGATGTGTCGCTCGAGGCGGAGACAAAGCCGGTATATACCAGGTAGATGACGTGTCCAGCGGTCGACCTCGAATGCGTGCGGGGGATCGAGATCTGTCAGATGAGGGGTGCTCCGTGATGATGCGGGGCCGCAACCCATGTCTGGAGTTTCTTGGTGCTCTTGGGGTCACCACCGTGTCAGTCGGACGACCGCGCTCCGTCATCAAGGCAAAGTTCAGGGTGTTCAAAGCTGTCGCCACTTGGGATGCAAGGACATTGAGCACAGCCACCAGGTTATTCACAAACTCAGCTGACAACTGCATGGCAACCGATCAAACCACAAGGTCAACTCAAGCAAAGCTGCAAAGCGATAATGCTGCGGCATGACAGAGATAAGGTAAATGCAAGCATGAATGTAGCAAACGCTGACGTACTTTTGTCGCTGTTGCTCCGTCATCGTTCATAGGGCAGACCAGACGGTCTGCAAGCTGGCGTCGCCTTAACTGCCGGTGGATACTTAGGAGTATAAGCATGACGGCGGGCCACAGGAACTGCATCAACAGGACGGTCTGGGAGCCGTCGATGATGGCTGCGGGATCGTCTTCGATGCTGCTCTCGATGCCTAGATCTTCGCCGTCGTCTGTGTTC